CTGTCCATGCCGCAGCATGGAACAAGAGCAGTGCTACAGCCAGCACAGCCTGGCCAGACAGGCTCCATGCACACCTCAGGCTTTCCTTCAACCTGCGGGTCCTCTGTACCTGAAAGCTGTACAAAGAATCCTGCTCAAGCATCAACTTATAGCTGGCACTAAGGACCAACTAAGCATCACACAGAGAAGTGCAGCTTTGTGCAGAGCTTTACCAGGTAACGGATCAGAGGTGACTCATTTTTGAATGTTTACTTGGACAGATTCAAACAAACAGTTGCCTTTAAAATCTCCAGCAACTCTCCCTGCCACTTTCATCCCCTTTTCCCCTTTATTGCAAACTGAAGCAGAGAGGCCTGTGCTAAAGATTTTGCAAAATTTCCCCTATCTCATCCCCTGTCCAGAAGTCCTGAGCTGCTCCCAAGGACCAAGGTCAAAGCCAAGGTTGTCTGGGCTGATGTCGACACAGCAGCCGAGGTGAGTCACCCTGGAGCATCATCAGCATGACACCCAGCTACATCCCCATTCAGTGACACGAGCGTCAACCAAGAGTCAACAGAGCAGCTGCATCAGGGTAAAGTTGGTAGACCCAAAAAGGAGCAAGGTCCCCTATTGCTACTTAAAACACTTAAATGAACACCTGAAATCTCTGTCCTTTCAGAGGAAATAAATTTTATTTCAGAGATTTACAGTAGCGCTTTGTGCATAGCCATTACCAAACTATGAATCTGTATTCCTAGCTTGTGGAGACACATTGATTTAGGCTAATGTAACCTGTGCAGGGCAATCCAGAGTCTTACTCTGGGTGGTCATCATGGTGTTCTGRCCTGGAGTGAAGGAATGACCTCTCTCATGAGCTTATCCCCTATCTGTTAGCTTAGAAAACAGAATATTCCAGCTCCTTGGTATACTGCTTTTAACAGATGTTTCATTCTTAATACACATGTGATGCACACTGAATTAACCTGTAGGGTGACAAATCAGCTGGTGAGGCTTTGCAGCTCACATCTTGAGCAAGGTGAACCTTCACTGCAGCTCACAGTCACAGGAGCAGTCTATGGTACCTACTGATGCTCTGCTACGACAGCCTGTTGCTGGTGCACATTGAGATACTCGCAGCAACATCTGCTCTGAGGACATCTTGCAGTTGCCACAGTCATTCAATGGGCTGAGTAACAGCCAAAATCTCTAGCAGCAGCTAGAGATTTGGGAGGCATGTGTGCTGAAGCAGCACACCTCAAATGCTGGTGTTGCCACCCTTAGTGCTATATGGGGACAAGTCCCTTGAATACATCTGCAGCAGAGCTCTGAAAAAACAAAATCCATGAGCAGTGTCTGCCTTTGAGAGGCCGGGATAATGCAGGGCAGACGGGCTCCCATCGCAGAGGATTCGTGGCCCGTGCTGCAAAGGTCCGTTCGCTGGAGCAGGCAGCTGCACTGGGCGGCAGAAGGGCCACGGGAGCTGCTGGCCCTGGGGCTGCCCCTGCTCGTCGCCTGCGTCTGGCCCGCGACGCGGCGCCAGCTGCGACCCCCGGTCCCTGCTGAGGGGAGGCAGGAATGTCCCTCTCCCTCGAGGGTGCCCCTTTCTCCTCGGAGGCGCCTCAAGGCGAGGAAGCCGCGAGCTGCCCGCCCCATCCGGCACCCCACACAAAACTGCTCCTTCTCAGAGTGATTAAGTTCCACTTTAACCAACTCGTGTCCAAATATTTTCCTCTGCTGCCCTTATTATTTCAGCTCTGTTTCCATGCTACCGGTAGCCGTGGAAAAGCACCGCGGTCGCCAGCGGAGCGGTTACGTCCCGTCAGAGCCGCGAAGGGCAGCAGCGCCGGTGCCGGCAGCGACCCAAGCCCGAGCTGCCGCCCCGGCCGGCAGCCCGCGACCAACGGGGCGGGCAGGCACGAGGGGCCCGCTGGGTCCCTGTGGGGCAGCGCGGGACACGGAGGGACAGCGCGGAGCTCGTGACGCAACAGCGGCTCCGTCGGCGCAGGCTCTGGGAGCTGCCGTCCCCTTGGGCAGGTCCGCGGGCTGCGCTCCTTCCCCGCTTAGACTGCAGCTCAGAGGTGGCAACCAACACCCGGCAGCACGGAGCCGGGCTTGGGAAGGGTCAGCGACGGGGTCGAGTTCGCCTTTGCCATCCGGAGCGTTGAGGGCAAAAYGTTCTTCTGCACAGTTTGATCACTGCTTTCACTTTTCTCCCAGCACCTTCCCTAAACAAATGACTGCACTCCTGGCAAAATCCTAAAGAAAAAAAAAATAGATTTAGATTAATTTTTCACTGCCATTTCGGGAACGAAGTGCGACATTTCGTTAAAGCACGCTCGTGTTTCATCCAGATTAGTGTATTCATATTGGAGGGACCAATAGGCAAAATAAGCGGAGCTGAACGATGCAAAATCACCCCAGCCGAGGCGCCGAGCGGTCTGTGCTCCCTCGCGATGCCGTATGAAGCAGCAGGTCTGCGTCCCCCAATGCCCCGCTTGATCCTTTGTTTTGCTTTATTTTTCTGCAGGAAAAAAAATGTTAAAAGAGGAGGAAAAAAAAATAATAGCAAAACAGCAAGTTGCAATGAGCTCTAGACACTTGTGAGGGAACCGCTGCCTCAATCACTCACCCAATTAGGAAACAGAAACGTTTCTCTCCGGCAGATCCGGTCGGTCCCAGGAGCGCCGCGCCGCAGGACCGGGGCGGCCGGGCTGCCCTGGGGCTGCAGGATGGACCGTTATTAGGAGAACGGGTCAGTCGCATCGCGTTAAGCCAGCCCGGAGTCAGGAACGAGAGCCTGATGCCAGTTCCGCAGCTTTTACCGACCGCTGGAGCGCTGGGTTCGCAAAGTCGTGAGGAGCGACCCCGAGCGCACTGCCTTCGGCTCCGCACTTACCTCAGACGGCCCGCAGAGGCCCCGTAGCCCCAGCACAGGCGGGACCCGGGACAGAGTTGCAGACACCAAAGTGGTGCGAGCGGCTGGAGCTCGCGCGGAGGCCCCGGCCCCCGACTGCGCAGCGGCCGCGAGCGGGGCTCGGCAAAGCGCGGTCCTTCCCGCCGCCCGGGCAGCCAGGGYCTCGGCGGCGCGGCCTGCAGTGGCGCCGCGGAGGGGCTTGTGGCTCTGCTACCGTTCGCTCGCGGGAGAAGCGGGGCCACCGCAGCGCCCCGCGGGCAGAAGCAGCRAGCCGCGCGCTCGCGCTGCCGCGGGCTCTGCACAACTTCCGCGACCAGTGCTCTCATCGTGCTGTGCCGAGTCGTCAAGCCCTGAAGAGGCCTCTCCTCTCTGCGGCTAATTAGCACTCCCACCCACACACATCCTCGCGTTAGTCCCGAGAGCGGAAGGAGAAACAGGCGCAGTCCTAGTGCCGGGACGTCCCGCAGGAGTCTCCCGCTCCGCAGCGCCGCGCACCCACCACGACCGGCCCGGCGGGGACTTCCCTCTCGCCGGTCGGGGCGGCCGAATCAAAGCACCGCCCGAGCCGCGCGTCCCCCGCGGGCGCGAAGACGGCACCGAGGAGAGCAGCGCACGCACAAGCTGGGGAGCCCCTGATAGCGAGCGGGGACGCCTTTCATCTCTTCAGAAAACGACGCTGGAAGCGTTCACCAAAATCACAACCACGGCAGAGCGACCCTTGGAGAGACGGGACGTGGGAGAGAGGCGATAAAACATCATGGACGAAGCGCAGCTTGAGCCCGAATAACCAGATCTGGGACTTTTCATATCCACCCCACCGAAACCAGAACCTTTCTGGCTTCTTCTCAGAACATTCGCCCTCTAGCAGCTCGGCAAAACCCCTCGCCTCCCGCGGAGCGTCCGCGGGCGGGCGGCATGGCGGATCTGCGCGCTGCGAAAAGCGAGCTGTGCTCGGGGCAGCCGCCAAGCCTCACGACTCAGCCCGCAGCCYCTGCGATGCCCCGAACGAAACCCTTAGTCCGAGACTCGACCTGGCCCCACCGGGAGCCTCCTGCTCACCGCAGGTGCCGCCGCCGCGCACACAGCGCGGAAGCGCGGGGCCCGGACTGGGCGCGGAAGGAGTCATGGAGAAGYGCGGCGCGGGCAGCCGGGCCCGGGCTCCCTCCGCGCTCTCCCGTGCGCGGTTTTCCCCAATTGCTGCGCGGCTGCAAGCGTCGCAGGGATCAGTGTACCGATTTTGTGGTCTCCTGCTTCTAATGTTTTTCACAGATGAAAGGTCCATACACACAGGAACGAGCTTATTTTGTAGAAATCCGACGTGCGGTTCTCCACGCGGAGCACCGAGCGCCGCTCACGAGATCGTTGGCAGCACAGAGAGGGACTGCAGAGCCGCAAACTGGCTCTCAGCACGGCCCCGCACGCKCAGCGCTGCCCCAGGTCGCTCTCTCTGCGCACGGGGAGGGGGCTCCGCTCTCGCACGGCGGTTCCCCGGCGAGGAGGGCGGCTCGGGGCTGACCCGCGGGCCGGGACAAGCCCAGGTTGCGCCGCCGCCCTCCCTGCCTTCCGCCCGGCGCCGCGGGCCCCGTCAGGCTGCCCTAACCCATGTCACAGCGAAACCCGCTCCCCTGGGAAAGGCACTGGGGGGGCCCAGAGCGAACCCCTGCCCAGGGCTGGCGCAGACCAGCGCCAAGAGGACGACCTGCGGGCACCGCCGCCCCGTCCTCGCTGTCAGGCAGGGACAAGGCCTGTGGGGGGAGGCGAATTAACGGCCATGACTGCTCTGAGAGGAAAGGGGAGATTTTCCTCTCACGTTCTTTCAGAACTAAAATCCCTCTTTATCAAACATACTTTAGCGTTGCTAAACATGGGGGCAGTTCTCTCAGCTTCCCTTACTGAGGCTCCACAAAACGTCTCACATCAGTTTATCTTTTAACAGAACTAAAGCATAGAAGGGAGGAAAAAGATGCACACGTAGCAACGAGCTAATTGAAAACAGCTGGTGAGTTAAATACGTGCGAGGAGCTGTTTTTCCSGCTATTGACCTCACCTGTGAGGAGCACGCTGAGGCTCAGTTGCCTCCAAGCTTCGAGCAGAGCAGAGGTTTCCCAGAGGATTGGGGTTCGGGACACCAGTTCTCAGCTGTCCCTGTGTGCTGCGGGAAACGCTGCTGCGCGTCACGCCGCGATGTTTCGAGAGTGATTCCAGCCCGCAGGAAGGCTGCAGCATTGGTGCTTCAGGTGTTCCTGGTCTGGCCTAACGAGAGGGTTGGGAGGCACGGTCAGGAGCAGGGAGCGGGGTTGGGAGCTGCGGGTCGCATTGGGAACTTCGGCAGGGCGGATACCTTGGCTGTTCCCTGGTGTCTCGCTTCCCTTGTGTTGGTCTCCTCGCTAACGCAGGAGCGACGTAACTGGAGTCTGCGCCCGGGCTGGGGCGGAGGGGAAGGGCTGGCAAGGGATGGAGACGGAGGGATATCCCCCCCTCCAGCCCCGGGSGGCCCCGCCACGCGGAAGGCGGGCTCTGGCAGTAGGAGAGGCCAGCGCGCCCGCGGAAGGCAGGACCGCACCGCGGCCCTCCCACTGCAAACAAAACTTTTGTGCGACAGGCGTTGCGCGCAGAGGCGCGGAGCGGTCCCGGCGGCCCGCGGAGCTGGTATGCGCTAGGGCTGGGCCATGTATTGGAAGAGCGATCCGATGTTCGTGTGTCGGTTGGACGACAAGGACCTGCCCGCGCTCGGCGCCCCCTCGGACAAGGTGAGCGCGCGGCCGGGGCGCTCCGGGCTCCTTCTCGGGTGGGTCGGTGCGACGCTGACCGCACTCCCCGCGCTGCCCCAGGCGAGCCCCGCGACGGCCGACGAGGACTCGTGCTCTTCCTCCACCGCCCTGTCACCCTCCTCCTCGCCGCGGTCCATGGCCTCGGGCTCCGGCTGCGCCCCCAGCAAGTGCGTGTGCAGCAGTTGCGGCCTGGAGATTGTGGACAAGTACCTGCTCAAGGTGAGCTCCGAGGGGCCGGGGGCTGGCCGGGCACGCGAGGGCGGCGGCGAGAGCCGCCTCGCACTGACGTGGCAGTGGCAGCCCCGCTTCCCGCGGTGCGGGAGCCGGCCGGCTGCGCCGCGGGGCGCCCGGGGCCCGGCCGCGCTGAGTAGAGCGGGGCGCCCGGCCGGAGTAGCCCCGGCAGCAGCGACGGGGAGCCCTCGCAGGGGCGGCCGCGGCGCCCGGGGCCCCTCGGCCCGGCGGAGCGGGACCACTGGGAGGAAGCGAGAAGGAACCTGATGCTTTTACCCTTTTTGATCTTTTTTTTTTGTGTCCGCCTGGCCGGAGCGCCCCTCGGCTTGTGGGTGTGAACAGRCTTACTGCACAAACGGGATTTCTTAAAAACATTATGCTAATTCTATACGGATTTTTGCGGTACAGGCCTTGAAGAAAAGGGGAGCTACCGGCTCCGTTTCGATAAAGCATTTTTTTTTGTTTTGTTTTTCCCTTTCCTCCTTCTGCCTTTTGATCCTTTTATTTTGCTGTAGCTGGAAAGTGATGAGGGCAGAAAACGAATTTTCTGGACGTGGATAATTTCCTTTGTTCTTTACGTTTCTGATTAAGCGGTGACCATATGACCATCTCGTTATTAGCTGAAAATAAGTTTTCTATAATAATTCACGAATCTAAAGGCAAAAGAGTTTTCTGTTTCCAAAGCTCTTTGAGCTGTAGAAACAATCTCTCCTGTAAGGTAGTCTAGTAGCGCCCATGGAGGAAGGAGATTATGTGAAAGCAGAGCAGGATCTTTCGTCGTTAGTGTCCAAGATCCAAGCCTTATCACTTAAAAACATGGACTTTCGGAGATTTAAATATAAGCTATAATGCATTTGGGGCTGCTAGGATTACTATGTATCACGGCTTAAAACTGCAATTAGAAAATCTTGCTATCAAGTTATTCGCTCCCATAAATTTCTAAGTTAAATTAAGCCCTCACACATTCTGCGGAGTTGAAGCCGGGCACTATCGACGAGAACAGGAGGGGACGCGGCCCGGGCCGGTACCGCCCGGGTTTGGACCCTGCTGTGCGCCGGAATCCTCTACGCTGGATCTCGGAAGCGGGACCGGGCGGGGGGCCGCGAGTGGAGCAACGATTCTTGTCCCGCKGCGCGGAGCAGCGCGGCCCTCCGAGGAGACTGCGGACCGGACTCCTGCCGCAGCGGATGGACCGGTGGGTCCCGCGCCTGGCRCCGCCGCTGCCTGTCCGTCTTGCGCGGGCCCGGACCGTCCAGCAGCCGCGCGTGAGACTCCACACGAGTGTCGATGCGGAGGCGCCGCTGCCCGCGGCCTCAACAGGGACGGGCGGGCGCTCCGCAGCGCTGCGGGCCCGGCCTCCCGCGCTCCTCGCCCCGAGCTGCCGCGGCCGCCTGCGGCGTCTGTACCGGAGACCTCACCGAGAGCTGAGAGAAGTTGGCTTAACACGTATTTAAACTGGAAAATTGGATTTGAAAAGGGGGAAAAACTCCCTAAGAAAAAAATTATCGTTTTACGTAATTCTTCCTATATAACAAGTAATTATCTAGAGACTTATTAGGGTTTTTTTCCTTTTTTTTTTCCTCTCTCCCCGAGAGTCTTGGGTTCTCAGAATATTTAATTTAGCTGCTGTGAGATGCACAATTGCTTCACGATAAACAAAAATCCTCTTTATAAGGATGGAAAAAATATTTGCCCACAGATTGCTTGCCCAAATTTTAAACACGACATTTTAAAACTCCTGAATTCCTATAGTTTTTCATAACTACTTGAAATTTCACTGCAGATATTATGTTAAACATTAAAACAATTACTAGTATTTCTTGATCATTCTAAAGAATTTAAATGCTAAAATCCGTTGATAGAAGATGCTTCCTGATGTGTTTAYTGTTGGCACACATTTATTCTCTTTGTTTGGTGCTTGCATATCAAAATGTTGAAGAACTTTATGAAGTTCCTGTTGGCACATACCATGTTGGGCAGTCTAGGGAGTGAGAGTGCAGGAGCCAGTCGCTCCCAAGGTTGTGCGAGGCCGTAACTTGCTGTTACTCTAGTGCTGCAGAGCAGGGTGCAAAACACCTACCTGGAACTTAAATCTTTCTTCCTCTTCCTGTGCTTTAATTACAAAGCCAAGAAAGCTTTTGTTGAATAAAGACCTTCAGCAAACAGTTAACCCTTTGTGTATGCAATTCTGTAGGAAAAGTGAATGGTCTTGAAGATATACTTTCTGTGAATCTGTTATGGTATGTGCGATTTTTTTTTGTCTTTTCTTCATATATGGAAAAAATAGTTTTAGGAAACTGGGATATCAATGTTGGCAGCACAAACATTGAAGCATCTTTCATATCCTGCAGGTAAATGATCTCTGTTGGCACGTGCGCTGCCTCTCGTGCAGCGTGTGCAGGACATCCCTGGGGCGGCACACCAGCTGCTACATCAAGGATAAGGATATCTTCTGCAAACTCGATTATTTCAGGTATATCACATATATGTGTGTGTGTGTATGTGTGTATATATATATATATAAAAAAAATGAGATGGGATATGGTACCTGCCTGAAAGGTATCATGTAAGCTGTAATTTATGCTGTGCATTTAGGCTCTGTTTCTTTTGCTAGATTTGTTTTCGGTAGTTAAATCCTGACTTTTCTCACAAAGGGACTTGGGAAATTCTGTCTCATGTAAAATCATGCTTTTTTTTTTTTTTTTTTTTTTTTTTTTTTTTTTTTTTTTGTCATGTATAGTAACTCTTATTGAATAATTTAACTTTATACAGAAATAAATGCACATACAGGTGAAAAAAAAGTCCAAGTCCCTAGCACTATGCAGGTTCTAAATTTATCACATACACAAAGGATTGCCCTTAGCGATGCAGCTACTGAGCACAAGGAAGATCAAGGCCATACTCTGCCTGGTCCCAGAGGAATGTTGCTCCAGACATAGAGTACTGCATAGAAGTAGTAAAATAACCTAAATTAAATCATTTAAACTTCACAAGAAGCTTTTAGCACTTACAATACTATGTGTTTTGTTTGACTTAGAGCATGAAGCATTCTCCAGGATTAAGGTCTAATCCTTAGAGGAAAAATATTATTAATTCTTGCTTGCATTGAAAAACTTTTCGGTCACAGAGTGAAGAGACAAAAATCCTGAGTCCAGAAGGCAGCAAGAACTTTGTCATTAAGTTTAGCTTGATCACAGTGCTCTGCAGCCCAGCCATATGTGGATCTGCCTTGGGGGTTATGTTCACCCAGTGGATTTTGACACGGAAGGGGAGCTGCTTCAAAAAGTAAATCAGTTACATGGGACTAAATAAGAACTTACAAGTCCACAGAAATTTTTAGGCCAAATGCTTATCTATATAATCAATGTATTCTGGTTGCTAGTTTCCCCTTGAAAAGGAAATATTCTATCTTATCAAGATAAATATTTGCACATGTTTGAATTTTGTTTAAAGGCAATACAATCATGCTGTGATAATTAAGGAAATGATCRTGAAGATCTAGATTTTCCCCTTGCACTGCTGAAGGCTTGAATGGTTAGTGAAGGAAGATGCAGCTAATGTAGTATTCCACACTGGCTTTCTTTGGGTAATGTGACATGCATCTGAACATCCAGGAGGGCTTGGAGCAGAAGGCAGCTGCTTCCACCTCTTGGTGGCAGCTTCCCATGGAGAAATCATCTTTATAGCACAAAGGACCAAGTGTTGCACACTCAGGTAGTCTTTTAAAGAAAGTCCAGCTGCAGAAGTTAATGCCTCCCTTAAGACGAGGGCAGAACTGCGTGTCGGGCTGCTGCAGAGAGCCAGGAGCCGCGGTGGTTCCAGCCCGTTGTTCCTTCCTGCAGGCGGTACGGCACCCGCTGCTCCCGCTGCGGCAGGCACATCCATGCCACTGACTGGGTCCGCAGGGCCAAGGGGAACGTCTATCACCTGGCCTGCTTTGCCTGCTTCTCCTGCAAGCGACAGCTTTCTACCGGCGAGGAGTTTGCCTTGGTCGAAGAGAAAGTGCTGTGCAGAGTGCATTATGACTGCATGCTGGACAACCTGAAGAGAGAGGTTGAAAATGGTAACAGGCTGCTGCTGTTATGAACTGTGCTCGTGGCTTAGTTCTGCTGGCTTTGGCTTCATCTTTCTTGTTAAGAGTTTGTTATCTAGCTTTATCAAGGTGAAGTGAAGGTCCTTGAATTAAAACAATGTTCAAGTTATATGTTATCTTAGTTTTTATAGTGTGTACAACTTCTTTTCTATGCTATGATAAAGCAAAGTGTATCTAGCCCATAAAATGTCGTGCTGGTGTACTCCTTCCCTCCTACAAGGGAGCCAGTTGGGTTCTGGTGCCAGAGACACGTAACTTTGAGCCGAACGTAGCTTTTTTTCCAAATCTGCACTYGGCCAGCCAAGCACTGTTAGTTATTGTTGGAGGATGGTCCAATTTACAAAAATATTTTTTAATGTTTAGCAAACTCTTTTTAATTTTTTTTTTTTTATGCTTCAGGTAATGGGATTAGTGTGGAAGGAGCGCTATTAACAGAGCAAGATGTTAATCATCCTAAACCAGCAAAGAGAGCTCGGACCAGCTTCACAGCAGACCAGCTCCAGGTAGAGGGTTTTGCTGAAAACTTGCTTAGTTCGGGTTTACACAGGACATAACTCCTGGACCGTTAAGAAATCGGATGCATAAGGAAGGGGGCAAAAGGGCTTGTATATTCTAAACTATTTCACAAATTGTCAAGACCCAGCATGTTTCTGGACCTGCTTGTTAGCTTCAGCAGTTTTATGGGAAATAGTTACTCTTCGAGCTTTTTATTTCCCCTGGGGGCAACCAGTAATTCTGCAGCGAGGAAACAAAGAGGAGGTTGATGACTTTGGTTGCTCAATGAAATCTCTCTAATCAGACGCTTGCATCACGGCACAGTGTTGAAGATGGAATATTTTTGGAGTTRCATAACACGGAGAGCTGTGCTGAGGGGGCCGGTGCTGTCGATGCTGGTGCTGACCTGGTCTCACGGGCCCCTCGACGCTGTTCCCAGCCCCTCCGTGGGTTTGCAGGTGCTTCCTAGCCAGGGCTGCTGCGACAGCGCCAAGCCCAGGGCAGCACCGCKTTGGGAGATGGGCGCTGCTGTTCCGTGTTAGGGTTTTAGGTAGGAAAGTGGCTTTTCCCAGCAGTAGGGGCTAAAAYGGGAAGGTGCCTCTGTAGAGGGTGGTGGTCCCTATGCTTGACGCGGTTTGTGCTCGATGCGATGCTGAGGAGGCTTCTGCACAGTCCTCATGTGAGCGCAGCCCCTCTGTGTTCCCCTCTGCRGCGGGAAAAGGCCTGCAGGAGCCATTGGGAGGTGTGGGACTGGGGCACTGGTGTCTCTCTGCTCCGTGCCCTGTCCCTCACCTGTGGAGCCATGGGGACGGAAGCCGGTGCTGCTGTCACCTGCTCTTCCCTGCTTTGATGTTCTCATCTTGTCACTGCTGGAGAGGCAGTGTGGAGCAGACAGGTCCGCGAGTCTGTGGGACACAAGCTTCACCTTTCCTGAACTGCTGTGCTCCGGGGTGCCCGTGCGGCTCCGGGGTGCCACGGCAGCCCTGTGTCTGCAGCATGGGTGCTGTGCCTGGCGCTCACTGGCTGTGCRGATGGCGGACCAGCAGCCAATCTGAGCTCAGCCCTTATCCCACCCCAGGCCACCTGCTGGCTGCTCAGCTGTCATGGGTCATGTCTTTGTCAAGGGCATTTGACCTGGCTGAATTCCACCCAGTTGGTTCCTGTGCAATCGTACTTGATGTTTCTGCTGTTGTCAACTGGTGGAAACAGCTGGTTTCCTTCATTCTGAAAAAGTCTCCTGGTTCAGCTGCATTGGGGTAGGCATGGTGTCCAGGCTCACTGCAAGGGTTGTCTTTTGGGAGTGGAGRGATTTCTTTGCTTTAATGTATTCAGCAGTTTGCCTGGGGACTAGTGAGATGCTTTCCTAAACCCAGAACAAGAGGAATCTGCAGTGTGGCTGTGTTTTGAAGACCACACAACTGCATCCTTCTCCTGACGTTGCAGGTCATGCAAGCGCAGTTTGCTCAGGACAACAACCCGGATGCGCAGACGCTGCAGAAGCTGGCAGAGAGAACAGGCCTGAGCAGGCGCGTGATACAGGTGACTGCACTGAGCTGGGGCGCATGCGGGGACGGCTCAAGGATGGGTTTGCCTGTCCACCAAGAGGTGGACAAAGTCTTAATCTGGCAGTTCAGGCATGATTATATGTCCCAGACAGGACATGTATCTATAGTCAGCTTTATTTTTAAAAAGCTGATCTTAGCCCATTCTGAATAACTGCCTTTTTAGAGCTGCTGTGATGACATGAGCACTGGGGTTATTGAGTATTGTGGTCCTGTTTGGCAGGAATAATACTCAATTCGTTGTGTTCCTTCTCTATGTTGCGCGGAGGAGAGCGGCTCCTGCAGGTGGAGCGCCGCGTAGGCGGGCGCTGGGCACCGGGTGCCATGCGCTGCTGGTGCCACAGGCGCTGCTCACGCGGCCGTGCCTCCCCGCAGGTGTGGTTCCAGAACTGCCGCGCACGCCACAAGAAGCACGTCAGCCCCAACCACTCGTCTGCCRCCCCCGTCTCTGCCGCGCAGCCCTCCCGCCTCTCGCCCCCCATGCTGGAGGAGATGGCCTACGCTGCCTACGTGCCCCCTGATGGCACCATGCTCACCGCGCTGCACACCTACATGGACGGTGGGTGTCCCRCCTGAGCGCTGCTCCGGTTGGCCCATGGCATGTGATAGTGACACTTGCTAACTAGCTAACTGGCGGTTACTAGGACTAGTAAAGCACTAGCAGCTGTAGCAGGGGCTCTTTGCTGAGTACTAAGGGAGAGGCAACAGGTTTCTCATTTCCAGTGTTCTGTTACCAAATATTTTGGTACCATAACTGCTTTCTGCATCTCACTGCTCTCCTAGCAGGAGCCATTCACCACAATAATGTAATGGATGATCTGAATGCGAAGACCACTTTGTGCCTTTTCCTTGCTACAAGTACTGGTAATAAGAAACCACRTGTGTGTGTGTTTTGTTTTCATTTTGTTTTATGCTGCAATAATAAGAATGCCTTAAAGAAAACAGTTTTCTTGTGCAGCGGACCTGTGGCCAGGCTTTGCGGGCGGCCGACATGGGAGGTGCGGTGCCAGTGCCCGGCGGGTGGGTGGGAGGGCTGGGAGCCGGGCGCTGTCTCTCCTGTCTCCCCTGAAGCTGACGGGTCAACCTCTCTCTTTGCAGCTCATTCACCTACGGCGCTTGGCCTCCAGCCTTTGCTACCCCACTCGATGACACAGCTGCCCATCAGCCACACCTAACCCCTCTGTCAGGGACATGAACTGCTAAATGTTTAGGTCCTTTAATGTGTATTAAAATATCACAGAGAGATTAATGTTAACTTTTTATTTAACGTCTAAACCATTTTCAAGATCACTTTTGCTGTCCAGATATGTAAGTATATTTAGCCTGCAAGACACTTTTATGGATCCTGCATAAATAACTATAATGTTGTTTACAAGCCTTATTAAACACCRTTTTGTAATGTCTGGAAGTAGTCTAGTTATGTATTTGTTAATTTATTTGCCATCAAAAGAGCACTTTGCCTAAAAGAAAGGACTGACAATTGTGCAAAATGTTTACAATTCTTTGTGAAATTGTAGTTTGCCATTAGTTTATACTTGTAAGTTATTGCTAAAAGTATTACCTGTATTTGAGTTGTATACAGCCTCTATGTTAAAGCTTATTTCTGTGAGCAGGCAAAAATAAATTTTGGTTGCAAATATTTTCAAAATGAACCGAATAAAGTTTCTGCTGTAGCATGCTAAGCTCATCTCCCTGTGTTTGCAGCTGACCGCTTGGGCTGTAAGCAGCATTGTTAGGGGTACTGCACCAACCACCCCTTCAGCAGGTGCAGTGATGCAAGCTGGCACAGGGGCTTTAGCCCCTGTTTAGCCCTGCAGCAGTTCCCAGCTCCATGCTCTTGTTCTGGGTGTGGGTTGTCTGTGTGCTGCTGCTCCTCTGGCTGTAGCATACTCTGTGGTGCTGGTTTGCAGAGCTGGCCGCCTGCACTGAATGTCTCTATTGGGCCACTAAGGCCATTCCTGCTGGAAGCTGCTCCTTGGCCTAAGATGCGATGGAGGGTTGTGGTCCCTGGCTGTTTGTGGCTACTTGKGGGGTTGGAGGGACACAGTGTTGGGGTCCTGCTACTGCTTCCCTCCCTTTCTCTGTCCTTGCTGTTCTAAAGAACTAAAGAAAACCTTTTATAAAACAACCTGCCTGAACRGAATGGGTGCTGGTGGAGGCCCAGCTTCTTCTTTGTGCTGTTTTTCTGAGTTCCCATGGAGCCAGGTGGCTGTTCCTCTGCTTGGTGCATCCTTCATGCTGCTCTTGGACCCTGCTGCAAAGCCACYGTTACAGGGCTGCTGCATTGGTAGGGACAGCAGCACCATGGCTTGATTGCGACTACTTGGCCTCCTTGGCTGTGGCAGCACGCTGCATTTTCTCCATGTGTTCAGAGCTGCCTCTGGGCACCGCGCCCTCCCCATGTCTGGCGATGCAGGAGCCGCACGATGCCCCAGCCCTGTGCTGGACCAGCCCTGCGGCCTCCTGTGACTCAGTGTCACATGGGGGCCCTGGCGGCAGCTGGTGCCTGTGGCCCAAGAGGAGTGAGAGGAGCATGGGGCTGAGCGCCAAGGATCTCCTGTCTGTGGGGCAGCTCGCACTGCCCTGCAGCCTCGTGGTGACCAGTTCCACCTGGCACCCCTGTGGTGGGTGCAAGGGCACACAGGGATGCACATGCGTCCCTGCTGCAGACACAGCGCTGAGGACAGCAGCACGGCGGGCAGTGGCAGTGGTAGTAGTGGTGGTGCTGGCTGTGGTGGGAACCTCTGGGATGTTGTCCCACTCGCTGCCAGGCTTCTCACCCCTGCACAGCAAGATGGACGGATCCATGAGGTGACAGCCCCTCCAGTGCTGAAACGCAGCCTCTTTTGGGAGTGAGGTTGGGGTGAGGAAACATCTCCAAGACTCACGGGGCATCGCTGCAGGCTGCTTGGCCAGCRGTGAGGCCAACCCTGCCGCAGGCTCCGGGAGGCAGCAGGTACCGGGGTGTGCCGGAGCCCTGTGCAGTGTCAGAGCCCTCTGGGAACGTCACCTTCCACAGGGAGGAACCAGCAGCCCCGGAGCATGGAGATCGACACTGACTCCTCCCTGCCCTGTGCCTTTCCTGCTCCAGCAATGCCAATGTGGTGACCCTGCCAACAGCAGTGTCCTAGCTTGACTGCAGTGTGAAACAGCTGTGCATGCACTTACCTTGAGATTACGTGGCTCATTTGAAAGCAGCTGCACCACAATAAAAAGATTTTTTTTTTTTCCTTTTTTTTTCAGCTGTGACACTCAGCATCCTCTGCATGGGTGCTGACTGGTGCTATGAAGCAAGGAACATAGGAGTGTTTGCCAATGGCAATCTGCTGTTTCATGTGGCTCTTTTCTTATATTGTTAATGGAAAGGTACAGAATCCCAGAAAGATAAAAGTTGGCAGACACCTCTGGAGCTCATCTAGTCCAACCCCTCTGCACAGGCGGAGTCACCTAGAGCACAGGGTTGCATCCAGGTGGGTTTTGGTTAGCTTCAAAGAAGGAGACTCCACAACTTCTCTGGCAACCTGTGCCAGTGCTCTGTCACCCTCATGGTCAAGGAGTTTCTCCTCAAATTCAGGCAGAACTTCCTGTGCTTGTCTGTGTGCCCACGGCCTCTTGTCCTGTCACTGGCCACCACTGAAAAGAGCTTATCCCCCTCCTCTTGACACCCTTCCTTAAGATATTAGTATGCAACGAGTCCCTCTCCATTGAAACTCATTCAACTCAAACTCATAAACTACAATTTGAAGACAAAAATTCTTTTCATAGTTAAAGTGATGGAAACATCATCTTTCAGTGCACGCTTTGCCCTTCATTGTATCTGCCAGGAGTTCATACGACTCTTGAGAAATAATGGGTGCAGGAACTTAACATGCAGCTACGAGGGTCTCATGGACACTGGCCTGGTACAACACACCTCCTCCTAGCACCTCATGCTGTTAGTACTGAACTCACAAGGATAACATTAACCTTAGCAAGCCCCAGCAACCCAGAGCCACTGCTGCTGAGCAGCATATTGTGACCATCAATACATTGTGGACTACTGTAGCCAAGCTCATAAAATGAGGCAGAAGCTGGAAATGCATAAAGTAGAATAAATARGAAAAGGGGACCAAATACTCTTGATATTATCATTTGGTGCAAGCTAAACACACCCATGTCTCTCAATCCTGCTTGAATTCTTCTCAAATGGCAAACTTGGGCTCTTTCAGACTACAAGATTAAAACGTGTCACCCCCAGAGCCCAACCAAGCCAAGAGGAACACAAACATGGAATGAAAGCCGACTTGAGACAGGAAATTGAGTTGGTCAGRTGTGATAAATTGACAGCAGCCAGAAACGATGTTATAAAGCTATGCATGGAACAGCCCCTTCCTCTGCCTCCAGGCCGTCTGCAGACGTGGGCTCTACCGAACAGTGCACCATCTCCTGGGGGAAGCACATCAGCAGCAATGCTCATCTGCAAGACTGATTGCAAACATGCTAAGGGCAGTGCACATCGAACATGGGYCAAGGCAAAGCAGAGGCATCTTGAACCTAAATTTATCACCAGGGTCTGTTTCTTGGCAATGGTGCAATTTCCTTCTTCATCAGGTGTTTCAGCCAGACCACAACATCCATGGGGCCAAGACCGGGGCCACCGAGTTCCTGGTGGGGAGCTCTGGGTTGGGTAGGAGAGACCGGGGGGGCATTTGTCCTATGCTGCAACAGAGAGATGATGTGGGAGGCTGAAGAGGCTGGGCCAGGTTCAGCTTCATGGATGTGGATTAACATTTCTGTGGCCTGCAGCCAGGGCTAGATTTAAATGCAATACGAATGGCAAGAAAAACATGTGCTATGTAAGACACATCAGTCTGAACACTCACTTGAAAGGAGGCAGTTTTGGTGGGAAGCCCAAAGTTTTCTGAAGAAGGATAATATAACTAAGAGCTGCCATCAGCTACAACAGAACATGTGTGTTAAATGGAGATACTGAAGTGCTTTAAAAAAAAATCCAGATTTAATTAAAAATAACTGTGTACATATGAGACACGTAGTAAATGCCTGTACTCTCCAAAAGCCCTTTACAATTACTTTTATATCGCAAGTAGGGCCTTTGAGAGTTGTGTGCGCCAGGACAGGCGGCAGCACAGCAGCGCGTGAGCGCCAYGGGCGGCGGCTGGGCTGTGGTTACCGCGACCATGCGGCAGTGCAAACCACCCTGTCTGTTCTTCACTGCCTCTGCCGGGTGCCAGCTCCACTCCTTGCACAGCTGAGGCTGGGGCAGTCCTGCCRGGCCCCTCTGTGCCCCATGGCACCCTGAACCTCGGGGCTGTGGCCACCTTTGAGGCTCCGCTGGGCACAGGCCGCCCAAGCCCGGCCAGGCCGGGCCCCAACCTGCACTGCCCGGGACCGCGACTGTGTGGCCACCTGAGGCACGTGAGGCTGCACGGACACCCCCCAACATCTACCACAAGCCACCAACCACTGCAGCCCCATGGCACTGACCCCACACCACAGACCAGATCTACAGCACACTGCTCCACATCAACCACGGCACGTGTCGCAGCGCCAAATACCAAGCTCCTCAGAGTCTGAAGGCACTTTTTTTTTATATTTGCACATTGAGGATTGAATCCATAGTATATATTCATGCTTCCCCCACACAGAACAGTGACCATCTCCTCCCACTGTAGCTGTCCCTCAGCCAAAGGTGGCAGCAAGGCTGACATGTCCATGCATGTCAATACCAGGAACTGCTTGTTCAAACTCAAAAGGAAAGAGGAAAAAAAAAAAAAAAAAAAAAGTAGCTCACACAGCTTGCAGTCTCACTGCAGAAATTGCTCAGTGCCAGAAGCAACCCCAGCAAGGCTCCCCGACATGGGACTACTCAACCTTTAGTCCAGCTCCTGCCCACACCCTCTGCACTGCTGTTGCTGCTCATGCGACCTGCCGAAACCCGTTCGCAGCCCCCAGTGCTGCCTCATTGTAATTCTCCTGCCAGCCAGAAAACCTGTCACAGGTAGMGATACCACCAGTGCCCTGGCACCACAGTGGCCCGGATGGCATGAGACCCTGCTCTGTTACAGTTGCAGGTCCCACACCTACCTGGGAACCTCCTCTGGCAGCTGAAAAATGCCCACCTCTCTTGGCAGCRTGTTGTGTCTTAATGCAAAGCACAGATGGGGAAAAAAAAAACAAAAAAAGCATGTGACTCTGGAGCKTCTGCAAAAGCAAGTAAGAAAACTTATTATCAAACTACAAGATACGAATATGTCTGATTTTCAAACACAGCCCCTGCACCGCACTGCACTGTGCTGCCCATACCATGCACCACACTTTGGTGTCCTGCCTGTGTCCCCTGCATGGCACYGTGCTGCACTGTGCCACCCACACCATGCACCACACTGCGGCACTCTGCCTGTCCCCCCTGCATGGCACTATGCTGCACRGCCCCCCTAGGTTCCTCGACGCAGGGTGCCCATCCAGCTCCAGTGCAGGGCGGCTGCAGTCCCAGAGAGGGGCTGGGGACACTGGTGTCAGTGCGGCCCCGCACGGCACCGGCACAGACAGACAGACGCCGCTTTGTATCTAAATCTTTATTAGAACAAATCCCCAGAGCTGTAAAACAGTAAGTAACAATAAAATTAAATATTAAACACTTCCGTTATCAAAGATACTTAAACATTTCTATTTCTGCACAGCAGAAGCAAACAGGTTTTAGAGCTCAAATTGCCATGTGCTCATGTTAATTTGGTTTTGGCATGAAAATAACATAACTTTAACAATCACATTAAGAACAGAAAGAGGATTGGTGCAACAATTGGTAACCACTCTTCCCACCCCTCAAGCCCTAAATAGTCATTCTGTGATTTTGCAATTTGGGGCAAATACTTATGATTTTTTGGTAACAAAGACTAGCAGACAATCCATATATTAGTAGCACTGCTGTTACTTAAACACGAAGAAACAATTATATTTCTAAATTGATTACACTGCAGTACAAATTATGTTACTTGGAAAATCATCACCTGTATCAAAAAAAAAATAGAAAATTAAGGGTCATTTATAAAACACTTCCCAAATAGCAAATAACCAGCCTAAAATTGGAAAACCATCTTTATGTTTGTGAACACAGAGACACCTACATAACTCTGGTGCAGCAGACGTCTGCAAGCTCCCATCTTCATTCTTCTACCTCAAATAGCAAGAGCCACCTCCTCCATAGTGCACCATATTGCAGGTGCACTATGATCACTGCCAGCTGGAAAGTCCCATTCACGAGGTCACATCCCATAAACTAAAACTATAAAAAAAATCTACTACCAACACTCAGTTTTGTGTTACTTTTGTTTAGATAACCTTGCAACATCACCACTGTTTTCTGTTGCACATCCCATGTTTTCTGTTGCACGTGCATAATAGTTTCATGATCTGGCAACAGCAGCAGTGAACATGTGTGTGCTGCAGTATTCACAAAGGATGACAAATTATTATAAATTATATTAATAATGGGACTATTATATCCATTAATTTCAAGCAAAGAGGTTTTTTCCTTCTTGTCTAGCCTGTTCTGGTTTGTAGTTTACATGATGTGAATTAATGTTGAAATATAAACCAGGTAAAATAACAGCCAGTAAGGCACTTGGTCAGAGAGGACACGACCGTGCAGGCTGAGCCACACAGCTGACAGCAGGCCTATTCCTTAAAATCGCTCCTGTGACCGCCGGTTTCAGAATACTCAGTGACCGTCTGAGAAGTTGTTTAACATTGTGTCCTCCAAAATCTTTTTTCTGCTCTACAGCAGAACATGCAACAACAAAATGTTTCATTATTTTAAACAGCAATGTTGGAAAAAATATTCAGCTTCCTCAGAACACCCAATTCACAGAATTAATCACTAAATGCTACAAAAATTAATACAATTTCCTTGTTTCTTCATTTTGCTTGGGGAGGGGTGTCTTGTTTTAAATTTCCTCACAAAATACAAAGGCTTGATATTAAAAACTTTGGTGTAAAACATGCAAATTGAAGCAACCCATTGGTATGTCATAGGGAGACAGAGTGCATCAAACCGGGGCTAAAACAGACACGGTTGTGTGGTTACGGAATGGGCTATGTTTTACCTTTTCTTGGTTTCTACATTCTGCTTGTTCAAAATCTTCAAGAGTTTTATTCATGAAAAAAAGTATCTTTCTGCAGAGCTGGCATGTCTCTACGTATCTTCCACTAGGGGGAAGAAGGGCAGAATCAGAGCTCAGCCAGCCAGTGGGCAGGAACAGTCCCGCCACCGCTCTCAGTCCTGGGGCCCCTGGGCTTTCACTGCGCTCAAGTTTGGCCAGGGCTGTGCGGCTCGAGCGCTGTCTGCTCTAGTGTTGGCCATGGCCGTGCGGCTCTAGTGCGGGCCATGGCCATGCTGCTCTAGCGTTGCCCAGGGCCGTGCAGCTCTAGTGCTGTGCTGCCCTGGTGCTGGGCACGGTCGTAGCCTTGGGCTTTGCTGCGCTGCACATGCAGAGCAGGACAAGCTCTTGGCACCGCACAGTCCCATGATGGCATCAACAGCGTTTGGTCACTGATGCTCCAGGACTCAGCACCAAAGTGGATATAGCGTCTTCTACTGTGACCTACCTAGCCCGYGTTCCACTAGGTAAAGTGAAGAACAGAATCTACGATTTTATACTAAGTCAAGTAAACAAACGAAGGTCCAAATCCATACATCTCACTTTTAGTACCTGTGCTGTAAGTTAGCTGACACACACAGGATTAGTTAGCAACCACTGTACATTGGTCTTAAAAYATTTAAAGTGACTCTTTTACAAGTAAATACTTGCATTAATTTCTACTTGTTTCCTAGCAATTTTTAAAAGCCAATTTTACTAAATTATTACAATTTATGTATTCACTTTACTGACTACAAAATTTACATGATATTGCTTTGTATTTTCACAGTTCTCAACTATATCATTAAGTAAATGGCTTTTAAATTTTCTTCTCAAAAATGTGGACCACTTACATTCTGAACAATTTTCACAAAATAATGAGTGGAACAATTTATATATATATATATATATTTATATATATATTTACTATATATAAATAATAATGCTGTTTAAAACTTTGACTTTTAGAAATTATTTAGCAAATGCATAGGTTTGTTACAAAAGTCTTCTAATCAAATAACTTTATACTATTTCTATTATGTTATATTCCTAATAAACTCTATGGTTACATTCATAAGACAAAAAGCACACTGTATTCAGAAATACACTTTTTTCCCCCAGTAAAACACTCAAATCCAGTAGAGAAATATGTATTTCTTAAAGCAGTTTCTCAACTGCAAACTAACTGGACAGCAGTCAATCAGAATTACATCGGAGCTTGGACGGGACTCATAGTCCAGCAACTTCTAAATCATGAAAAGGTGGCACAAACTTCCCCCAAATTGTTGATTCATTACTCAGAATAGATTAGTATTTTAGGAGGTTAATATTCAGCATCATGCACATGATTAGATGGGAATGATGACAATGGTGGAAAATCTTCTACTCCTCAGTGAAGCACCTGATTTTTGGAAGGCAGGTTCAGCCCTTTCTGGAAGTCAGGTTTACTCTAAGGTATTGCAAAAGGGTTCTCAAAAATGAAGATGTCCAAAATCACTAGCTTCGTTTGAAGCTGTATGCCTTTATCTTATGCTGTTTAAGTCCTAAGTCCCCCATTTCTGCTTCAGAAGAGCTACGGGGCTCCCTGGACAGAAGCCCATCAGTGTTCTGTCACTAATGCTACAGCTTGCAGGCTCAGGAGGTCCTACCTGTCCAGGACTTCAAATGCATGGAGCACTGGGGCATTACCAGTGCCCCAGAGAAGCAGCACAAGGGAGAGGCTTTYTGCTTTTGTTGCAAATAAAATGATCACAGACTGGAGTCACAAATGCAATATCACTCTGGGTTGTGAGCTGGCAGTAAATTTTCCCCCAACATCTGAAGTTAATCAACTGGAGTAGAACTTGCCTTTCTCTTTGTGGTATCTATGGATAACCTGGGCTAAAAAAAAAAAACATTTCTAAGAGCTGAATTTCTGTAACAGTAGATCTGGGAAGAATATGCTGCTCCTGAAAAGCGGACTAAATTAATGTCCTTGTTTAGTACCACAGAACCCATGAAAACTGGGGACAGGGGCTCTGGCACGCATTACTGCAGTAAAACATCTGCAGTTCAGCTCATGGAAATAACAGTCTTGAAAAACATCTTTCATTTTCTCAGGCTTAAGGACTTAGGTACTGCTCTTTTTAACACTGCAATACAGAGTTGCTTTTCCTCTGAGCAGAACTGTCACTRACCTTGATAACAGTTGAATCTAAGGGGGTTTATAGATCTGTACAGAAGATTAGTGTGATTTATATTGATACTTTAATAATCAGGCAACTTCAATAATCTAAAAGCATACTCAATCATTTGGAGCATCTTTCATCAGTGATATAATCCTGTGTCATCAGAGGATCTGGTTCTGTTTCTTACCCAATACATTACTGCTGGAGCCGCTGAGTGTTTGGAGACCTAAGAACACGTGCTTTGCCTTTGGCATCAGCTTGGTCGTTGCAGTGTCTCTAGGAAGCCCTTCTGAGCTGGCTGAGGCAATGGGACCTGTGTGCACACGTAGAGCYAAGGCTTTCCTCTGAGAAAAGCTGCATTTGATTTTCCTTTTAGCAAAGCGCAACTTTCTTGTAATGCAGATAATAATCAGAGAGTCACTAGAGATGGGGACATTAAAACAAGGACATCTCTCATACATATCATCTGAAAACAATACATTTGCCATCTTTTACCAGATGAAACCTCATTTGTGTGAGCCACAAATCATATTAAATGCAATGGGACCTTCCCTCACTTATATCACCTGTTAAACACACTTCACAGAAAACTTCACTTTAAGTGCCATCCACTGTGGTCTTGTCTGGCCATCTTCTTTGGGTCTACAGGGTACCRTCCTTTGTTCCTTAAAATACACAGTTGTGGATGTGATTAAAACATTACCATGTTTTCCAGTGTAGGGAATCATTAATGCATGTATTATCACAGTTTAAATGGCTGTGAACCAGCTTGTACAAAAAATACAATCATAGCACCATATTTACAAATTTAGTACCATCTGCTGGTTAAATAGAAATTCTCAAACTATTTTTATGGCTAATTAGGTTATAGGGTAGTGCTTTCAGAAAATTGCCTGAATATCTTTTACAAATATACACTTATAAAAAGAAACGTTATCAAAAATGCTGTTCTTTGATGCAGCAAATTGTGTTAAAAAAGTTATTAAAACATTATTCATTATAGACTTAAAAAAGCTTCAAATTTACATTTTCCTTTTGACAGGCACTCTATAAACTAAAATGTGGCCTTGTTTCACAGCTGTTAGTTTAAGAATATAGTTATCTAGTTAACTGTTATCCATGTTGCTCATTTTTTATAGATAGAAGTAAAAGGAAAAAGAATCACCCATTAACCAGAAGCATCATTTACAGTTTTTACTTTTGCCTACTTTGTACATGTGTTGCTTAAAAGTGACACTCTTGTGATGTTGAGGTTTACTGCACATTATCCCACTGCCTTCTTCGGGCTTAGTTCCTTCTTTCCCAGGATCCGGTGAAGGCTAGCCGACATGAAGTAGGGCTTTGCTGTAGATCCATCATTTCTTTCCAGGTCTTCACCTGAATTTTCATCAGCCAAAAGAGCAAGCAGCAGTGCAGCCAGACACACAGCAAAATGGAAGGAGAGGAGAGAGAATTGAAGAGGCAAAAGAACCAACATTAGAAAATACCAAATGACAATTTAGCCGTATTGTTAAGCTGCCAAAGGACATCATAGAATTTTTATTCTTTCAAACTCGAGAAAACTTTTCACAAAACTTTTCACAGCAACACACACCCAGCTATTTTAAAATGACAGAAATACCTGTTTTAGTCTCCCAGTTCTTTGGTTTGGCAGCAGTACTGGAAGTTCTCAGAAAGGCTCATGTATCCAGACTGGTAGCCAGACTTCCCAAAGAAGCTCAGCATTTTGGCTGCTCATTGCTGGAAAATTTGTCCCAAAGAGAGCTTTGGATTTATGCACTTTAGAAAAGTGGATCCTTTCCCACTGCCTAAGAAGTTCTTTAGAAAATGTGATGAGATGGGGTGCACAATAGCTATATGATCTTCTGACCATTACCGAATGATGCATGGGAAGTAAAACAGTATGAGCTGAGAAGAGTGACATGTGCATGCTCCCTTTTTCTTACATAAGGTCGTAGCTAGATCACCCAGCTCCTAACCAGGCCACCGTGCAGGCAAGGGCCTTGTCCTGGAGGGAGGCTGCAGGCACATGAGGCTGCAGTGCAGGCGCGGGCTGAAGGCAACTGCCCAGAGTCACCGGTAGAGGAAAATTCCTTATATATCCCCACAGCAGCACCTCTGAACAGAGTGCTATTGTCCCCAACCAGATGCACAGACACACCRTTTGCCTCACCTGATGTGTAACAGGCTGCTTTGGTGCCAGGACTTCCCTCTGCTCTGGAAAAGCACAATGCACCGTTCTGCTCACACCACACTGGACTCTGCTGTACAGCTATCCACGGTAGAGCCATTTTTGCAAAAGGTATGTATAATGCTGATTTCTACATCATCAGCCTGTGGTGCCACCTGCATGGCCAGCTCCGTCCTGGACATTCTCCCAGTTTAGAGAGGCAAGGAAGTCTGTGGCAACATTTTCCTTTTCATATGCTCCTGCAACACCCGCCAACAACACTGCCCTGGCTCCCTGCAACACCTCAGCATAAGACGCGGTCTGTCTAATCCCTGCCATCACTTTCAATCCTAAATGCCTATAAACCAACTACATGCATCTATGGCATAAACAGAAAAGAATACTTGGTAATTTCTGGGTACCAAGAAAACAGTAAGCTTTCTGTATTCTGCCAGTTTGCTAAATTCCTTTCTATTTGAAGTATCACGAGTGATCATTTATTTATTGCCATTTTAGCTGATTTCTTGGAGACGCACTTTTGTTGCATCTGCCAGTATTTATGTTTCTTTAGAACCAAACTTCTTAATTCGAGATAAATCTGAGGTCACTCTCAACTACACATTTGTTTTCAGTTTTCTCTGATAACATAAGTGAGTCTTGAATCAATAAGTGAGTCTGGCATCACACTTATGTGTGACTGGTACAAAGAAATAACCCTTATATTTTCTATATGTTTCATAATTAAAAAGGTAATATSTTTTAATCATCTTAAAAAAAAATCTGAGAGTTGGGGAGTATACAGAAGTATTCATCCAATAGTTTAGCCAATTTAAGTTTGAGTGTTGTTACCCTTTACAAAGCATCCAGAAGCAAATTATTAGAGAAAGTTCTGAAAACAAAGCCAGCTGCTCCAGTGAATCACAGCCACCTCCCACTACTGAAATTAAGGGTATCTGAACACACCTCTGCGCTCAGACATGCATCAAGGAGTCAGTGTGAAAAGCAGAAGCAATTCCTGGTGACATGTTAGCAGACTGGGGGGAAAGGGAAGCAAAGTAAGAAACTGCCCTGTCAGTTCCTTTTCCTGCAACCTGCGGGAATTCATAAAAGAAAACTTTGTACTTACAAAAGCAGAGGAAAAGTGTGTCAACACACATTGCATAGACACTGAAGAATCCGTGTGCAACCAAGTAGGAGCCGATGATGACAGTCTACAAAAACAAACCACAATAAAACCACATGTTACTTTGGCACCTGTGTGCTAAAAAYTGCCACAAATCAGGATCCCCATCTGCTAAGAAAATCTGGGAAGGTTTAATGCAGTTCTACAATTCTGTGTAGGGTTTCTGCTGTGGAGAGGCATCTTGGACTTCTAACAAAGCAGCTGCTGTTTTTATTTTAAGCTGATGAACAGGGGCCATGTCAACTCCATACAGAATATATCTCAGAAACATYGAGCTCCTTCACAATGGTCCTCTAAAAGACTCCTCTTCCAGAGATGCTCTGCACCTACGTGGACTCCAAAGGTGAAAGAATTGCCCCCAGGCCTCTCCCATCAGAAGGCGCACCGTAGTCAGTGCCTCACCACCGTGAGGATGACATCCAACAGTTCTGCAGGTCTGTGGGCACAGCCGGAGGGGACAGAGACACTGTCACCAACATGTTCCTCGAGCACCTCCAACTGCCAGCAGGGTTGGGGCAAACAAGGGCAATGAAGGCTGAGCGACCTACCAGCAAGGGCACCCAGTAGTAGTTCAATGTTGGTGCTTCCTTGGCAAATATCGGTATTCGCTGAGTGAAGAAGAAGAAGGCGAGCACACCTGCAAGAAGCACAGAACACAGAGAACATACAGAACATGTGTCACTCTGGGGCACCCCACTCCTGCAGAAAGGGTGAGAAAAAATAACAGAAAGGGCATCCAAGGCCAGACTATACAAGGGCCTAACAGAATGAGATGTAAAAGAATGAGTTATCATAAAAATACTCTCAGAGCCAGAAATATTTTAATCGTTTTAAATCGCCACTCTGCTGTAGTTAATAACACAATTAACAAACAATGATAAGACAATAATGTGGGATAATATCAAAGACATTTGGGTGGACCTTTTCTAAAATAAACAAAGGTAAGCAAATAGAATTCTGCTTTTTAACTTTTATTACCTGACAAAATATTTAACTCTTTTCAGATTAAATAGAGAAACGTTGTGCTATGGATAAAGACAAAAATAAATATATAGCAGAAAAATGCATCTAAACAGAAACAGCCAAAGAAATTATCCTTGAAGAGGAAAAATATATTAATTACTTTCAGTATTTCAAGGCTTATATCACAAAATAAGTTTCAAATCAAGTTTGTTTCAGTTTGAGAGTCATTCTGCATTAATGATACAACATTTTAGATGTGGTCTTAGTGCAAATTTACAACTTTTGGTAAAAACAGAATCCATTTGTAATTCTTTCTGTATACCGAATACCAAACATGGCTACTAGYACTAGCAGAATAATGTGTTAAAGTTGCCTTGACAATTTAGCACAGTTTGAAGGGAATACTGCCAACTTGAATTTCTGCAAGTGCTTTATTTTTAAAAATCAATTTCTGCCCCAGCAAACTATGAATACTATACTCTGATATTCCCTCATAACCATCATAACCAAAAAAAAAAAAAAAAAAAGGTAAGGATGTTAGGAAAGTTTTGTCGCTCTCTTTCCTGGAGCGAGGAGGATCTTTTGAAGGGGCTGGCACCCAGCGGAGCTCGGGGCGCCGCTGCTGTAGTCCTGCACGGCCTTGCGTGCAGCAGAGCTGCTGGACAGGGCTGGCTGCAGCTGCACTCGCGTCTCAGAGTGCTGTGCAGTGGCTCCCACGCCAGCAGCGTGTGCAAGAACAGCAAAAACAACTATGGGAGAGATACTGCTGAGAGCACACAAGAAGAGCTGGAAAAAGAAAAGAACAACATGCTTCCCGGTGCAGCCTTGTAAACCCTTGGGCACAGGAACAGCGTCCTGAACAGTCAAACCCACAAGAATCTCCAGCCCTTAACTGAACACATGCGGACATGGCAAACTTGCGGGTACCAGAAAAAAAACCAAACCATCTGAGAAGAACCAGTTAAACTTACCTACACCACCAGCAACGAGAATTTTCCCCAGGAATAAAAGAAAGTCTGTAACTTTGTCCAGAACTGCAACTCTGTTCAGCAAAGGACAAATCATACACAAACATCACAAATCAGACATTCGTATTCTTTTTCTTTAAAACTATGGCTAATTTGCAAAATGTAATCAGGAATTGTCTTCTGCTGATTTCCGAGACTCATAATAAAGCAATGCAGCAAAGTAATATTGAGTAGGGCTAGGTGGTAGCCTAGTGCCCATCAGGAAACGAAGCACTGATCCTCTTGTTGAGGAAGCCTTAAGGAAGCAARACTGCTGACAGCACTTGAAGAGTGCTTATTGACCCTACTGGTTAAAYAAACATCCTTAAAGTATGACTTTCTAAAGGTTTAGAAAGGGTCAGAGAGAGACCAGCCCACGGGAGGCCATCGAAACAGAGCGCGCTGTTTGTGCGGGTGTCTCTTGGTGCCACCTGGCCACATGTCATTGCCCCAGGATATGCCAAATGCACACAACTGTTTTGAGATGTCGTTGCACAATCCCACAGGTGGAAGATCTCAAGGCAGAGGCAGTCCCAGATGAACAAAAAGTTTAGCAACAATTCTGCACTGTCCAGCTCTCACTGAAAGCAACAGCAAAGGAGAGGTAAGGAAGAGRGGTGAAACACACACTTTTTGCAAAGAGTCTCTGCTCAAAATCCAACTAGACTGTTTCATCAGAACTGGAGGTAAATAATGGCATGGAAAATGGGCTATTGCCACCCTCTTGGCAGTGCTGAAGGCTGCTCTACTGCTGAGATCCAGCACTGACTATCAGGAAAGATAAGTGAGTAGCAAACACTAAATAAAACAAATTACCATTAACCTGTTAAGAGTTAAGAGTCACAGTCAAAATATACAAGATAAGAAAAATCTCCTTTGAAAACAACAGAATCAAGTGTCTGTTTCTTAGCTACTGCTCACAGAGGAGGAGCAGAAGTGCACAGGACTGGAAGGCTGAGCTGCTCCCCACTGCACCAGCACTGCATGGTGTGGACGCCTCTGCTCTGACACAGATTCTGCAGACACAGTGGATGTCTAGTTCTTTCCTGCCTCATATTACTCTTTCAGAATCCTTCCTCCTCCCAGTCCTTCACTAAACAATTTGAACTACTGAACCTGTGCTTTTTGATCTTACTGTATTTTGGAAAGAGCTGCAAGCTAAGGAGGAAAGCACTGCAGAGAACAAGGAGCTTGGCAGCAGCCTTGGTAGTGGGGGAAAGTGTTGGACAGTTCCCTGAACTAGGAGAGATCTGGCTATTGTATATATTAAAGACATCGGTTTTGAAAGCAAAGTGTTCCCCTCTTGCTGCTYTCTGATACCTCATAGGTTTTCTGGGACAAATCTGATGTTTAGGTCTTTCCATTTTCCTTTTCAGAAGAAAACAAATGGACCAAAGCTCAAGAAACACACAAATAGTAGATGATGTACCCACTGACATGTACCTGTAGACCTCATTACATTCTACAAGGGTGCTGATGATTATAAAAGAGTGATCTTAACAAGATGGTCTGCTGAATCAGGCCAGCTCTGCCTGGGTTGCTCTGCTGGACAGCTTGTTGAAACACACTGGCCATTAGAAGGGAGGGACATTTCTGAAAGCAGAACCAGTTTAATTTTCAGAGCAGAGGTGGAAGAGGAAATAAGTGTGTCCCCAGAGTGCAATAGCAGGAAATCCTGCCACAGCAAGATGGGGATATGGTACCTTACCTCACCACGTTACGCATGAGCAGGTAGAATGCCTCCTTTGCTGAGGTGCAGAAGTTTTTTCCATATATGGCAATCTGCAAAATAACAGTAGTTGCTTGRTAAGTATTTTAACTAATTTGGGTAGCTTGACTGAATTTGACTAAATGTAACACAAAGTTCTCTCTAATCTTAATGAGAAAGACAGAGCCTTGAAAGAATGTCATCCATCTTCCCTCTCCAAAGCACCTGGGGGTGAGCATGTTACACCTTGAGATCTGCAGGCAGCAGAGCAGAGTACAAGTGAGTTATTGCTGAGGACTCCTTCTGCTCTGCTTGTTGCTCACACTGAATTTATAGACAGCAAAAGGAAACAGGTACAGGAAACAGATAAAAGACAGTTGACCTGTTTTAGCTTGTCTTCTTGAACCAGACTCTGCTCTCCCTAAGAAGAAATAAGGAATACTAGCACTGACATCAGTGCAGTCAGAGGAGTTCCACTACCAAAGAGTAAGCCAGGTCAAGTTATTCAGAAATCTTTTTTTTTTTTTTTTTTTTTTTAATTTCTGGACTAGTGTCCTCAAGGATAAGATGAATTAACATAGTTCTTTGGAGTTCTGATAATAATACAGTAGTTTTGCCTACTGCAAACAGGGCTATCAAAAAGAGCTTTTCTCTTGAGGACTGCAGTAATTGGAAACACTTTTTTTTGTGCGAAAATGAGATTAATGGACCCATTACAGCAACCTCTGAGAAAACAGATCTGTGACTGTAAAATTCCTTCACTTACACTGCTTCAAATAATGACATCTCTGTCTGAAATCTGTGTCTATTTATGTAGGTGAAAACCTGAAAATTCTCTTCTGAAGGCCAGTTAGAGTTATTTCAGAAAAGCTTCTAGCATGCTCATGGCTTCCATACAGACACCATCTGCCTACTGTCTTCCTTATCTAAAATGCTGTCTTTTAACAGAAGTGTTAAAGTGCTTCAATATGCAATATGAAACAAGCCAGCTCACTTGTTGGAATCAAGATTTGAACTGCTGATTCTGAGGGAAAGTTAAGTATTTTTATATATATATAAGGGATGCCATCCCTTCCCACTTATCTGGGGGGATGAGAGAGTATGAGGGACAACAGGTGCAGGCAAAAGGAGAGCCTGAGTTTGTAAGGAAAAAAAAAAATCTCACATTCTTGTGCAAGGMACACACGCACTTCCTGAAAATGGACTTAAATCCTATCATTTATTCAGCAGACTCAGACAACCACTGGCTGTTGACCAACCATCAATGGCTAGAGTATTTTAGTGCCCTAAACAGGGGAGATCACACGCTGAGAAAGAAAATACATACCATGATGTAGGCATTTCTGTTTATAAATTTTATAAATTTTTCCAAACACCAGAAACAGCATTTGAGGCAGCAGAGTAGAAATCTAGTGAAGGAGTTTTGTGTGCCTAAAAAAAAAGAGAGCATAGCACATAAAGAACTCACGAACAGACTGCAGAACATAGAAAGACATGCAGAAGGAAATTCTGAATTGCAGCAAAAGCAGAAACATTATTTCTCTTTTTCTAGGCATGGACTCTCCTTCACAACAAAATGTAGCTCACTATCATTCATTTAAATTGGATTCAAGTCCTGCTTGAACATTTACATTAAGCTCTCAAGGATATATACTTGATTCAGGTATATTAACTGAGATTCATTAGTTTCTAATACAACTGCAATGGTTARTAACGATGCTGGATTTGGCTCTTCAGATAGTCATAGCTGAAAAACCATCCTGGAAAACAAAGGAAACTATCTGTCAAATGAGTTGTAGTAACTTAGGGCAGATTCATAAATCTCACCTTTCAGTTTGTGATCCAAGTACTCCAAGATTACTCTAACAAGTTGGACAATTGCAAGAATTAAGGCTCCAAACGCCAGTGAACCTGTATGGTACCTAATGCAAAATAAATGCTATTTAGTGGTTAGCATTCACAGCAGCATTCCAATTACACTTTAGGTGTTACAACAATTCCCTGCCAACAGCAGACATCCCTAATATCCATCCAAAGCCTGTGCCAAGGCGTAAAGGTGCTCTTTGTAGTGAGGGCTGCCTACAGTGCACAGCATGACTATCTAAGAGTCCTTATCTATGGAATGCTAACCAAAAGCTGGTTATAGTTACACTACTCTTAAAACTACATGAAAGTTTGCAGCTTAGCTGTAATTAGCAAACTAGTAAACCATTAGACTATGTACTTAATGAGTCAGGACATTACCTCTAGGTTGAAATGCTGTGCCCCTACCACTGCCACCTAATCATCGCCATTTGTTATTTTAGGCCCTCTTTTCCTAAGTGTACAAAGAGCAATTTTAGGAAATGACAAGAGTCACAGCCAGCTTCACAATCTTACCGTATCGCTCGGCCAAATGAAGAGAAGAGTGGCCACAGTGGAATATCAGCAGGTTTCCTAAAGGCCCAGTAGTAAGAGGCAAAGGCACCAGCAAGGGTACACTGACCCAGTGCAATTGCAAAGTTCACCAGCCAAAGAAAGACAAAGGCATTGGCTAACTGAAAGATGAAGATATATTTATGGTACAGGCTTTCTCCTCCATAAAATGCAAAAGTACATTGAGCACCTGGACAGAGTTTGGTCACGTTGGTTTTGTTGAAAGTCTGTATAGAAAGAAAAAAAAAAACCAACATAATAATAGCAATGAATTTTCTGAAAAAAAGTCTCTGAAGTTTAGTGGCTTAATATAAATTACATTTTTTTTTGTTTCAACACTGCACTCCAATAGATTTTAAACTATTCATATATGTAAAGGTTCATATTAATACGATAGGCAGGTTCTGAACTTTGAACTATGCAGTTTGTAAGCAGGTCTGTTCACCACATATACCTTAAATATCACCAGAGCTCTGCCTGGAACCTATACAAATGGAACTTCAATTTCAGAAATCTGCTTCTAAGATACCTAAACTTCTCAGTTTCATTAAAGGAAAAATTAAAGTAAAAATATTATTTGTTTAAAAAACAGAGGCCAAATCTGCAGCTTTGGTAAATCACCATTTCTGAACTGAAATCAGCTGAGCTATGACATTCCCTTACACATCTCAAAGTATTAAAAATGCAATCATCTCTAAAGTTGAATTAAGTTTTCCTATTTCTGTTGTTTATATCATGTATTTGCCCAGAATACACAATGAAATGACAATAGTCCATTTCTAAACCCTCTCTTTTTCATTTTTCAGGCATCAGCAGAGTTGGGAACTGTTTGGAATGTGGATACTATAGCATTCTGTTGAATATATATTTACATATAGCATTTTATTGACATTTAAGTCTAAAGATAAATGTACTGATATAACATTTCACAAATACTTACAGTACTCAAAAAATAYTTGAATTCAATCCCACAGTTAAGTCATAATATTTAATTGAAAAAAAGACAAACATCTTGGACCTTCATAAAGGCCACTGCTGTGCTGAGAAAATCCCAATAGTTACTTGGGTCTCTGTATCTAAAATATGGCTTGTCCTTGGATAGATTTGAGGCTCAGCTTTTAAAATCATCCATTGCCTTTCACAGACCCCAAAACAGAAGCCTCAAGAATTTGAGAACACTCCTGAAAACAATTAAAAAAAGGTTTATCTGTGTCTCTTTTTCAGCCTGTAAAACAGAACTACTAGTATATAGCATGTATAATATACTATGTATATATACTATATGTATATACCAGATATACGTATATACAGTATATATAACTATTAGTATATAGCTTCCTCCTAAGACAGTTCACACTTACCTCTGGGTCACAGCTCAGGTTTGCATACTTGCACAGTGTTTGATTAGCCATTACCTTATACACTGGCTCTCCTGATGTAGCCAGAAAACTGAAGGAAAGATTTTAAGGAAGAACCACAGAACTGCAGACTTCGGACATCTTAAGATTCTGCAGTGGGAAATCAGGAGCTCTAAAGAACTTACAGAACTTATGCAGATAATACGAAAACTACTCTTGTTAGGCGGAGATTTATACGACAGAACAGACTGAATTCTCCCATTATTTGGAAAACTAAAGCAAATTCCACCTCTGAACTATGGTAGTTCCTGCCCAGAACAGGCAAGGGGAATCACCCTGCAAGTTGCCTCAACCTCTCCTACATATCCAGCTATGGTGAGGCACATCACTCAGTGCGGCTTTATAAGTTCATGTTTTAGTGGAAGCAGACACAAAGCACAAGGTAAGATTACACTGTCCTGCACAGCAATAGCTGAGCATCTTTGCACATGAAAGAAAAACAAATTGTTTTCAGAAAGCAAAATGCCCTTCCTTGCCATCCCAGGAACAAACAGTTGGTGGCTGTTGCTGTGAGGACTCAGTCCTCTCTCATTCCTTTCTTTTAACTTTTCTGAGCAAAAAAATCACCTGAAGCTTCCCCAGCTAAATCAGAGAGCATGAACATGGGGCCTGTAGTACATGCAGTACTGTAAAAGCCATATTCACTCTTTGCGTAGGCCCCTATTTTATCCCTTAAAGCCAGCCTTAGGTAGTACATAGAGCCTTATACAATTCCCCCTGCCCTAGCACAAATTTCAGTCCAGTTTATCTAAATGAAGATCCACTGTCAGATTTGTACATCACGCCCAAATGTGTAGTGAGGAACAATTCTGCGTTAGCAGAACAAGAGCCCTCCTGATACTGGTTGGTTAAGGTGATAGAGCAGAGCACTCCCTGGTCTTGTGGAGCAGGAGACCTCTCCAGACAGATACACAGGCAGAAGGATACACAGCTGTCACAGCCCAGTAGGAAATACAAATTGCAATGAGTAGGAAGGTGACGATTGGGTAGAACAACGTAGACATTATATAGCCAATAGCTCTGTGAAGGAAATCAAACATATCAGAAAGGTACAATGACTTAAGAAAAAAAGCTTTTTTATCAGTTGTTTGTCATGAACCTTTTTGCTTTGAGCTACCTATATGCAACAACATAATCTAGTGCTGAAATCCCAGAGCACTGCAGGTTCCATCTTCACACAGCTTCTCTTCTGCCACTGCTTCACAAGCATCTTCATCTATCTGCCACATTGAGGCCTGTCTCCAACTCTACTTGCTCTTTCCCACTCCTGTTTCTCAGATCCTGGTCTTTCCAGGTCATAAACCCATTACGATCCAATCTGTTTGTGCCTCCTGCAGACATGACCCTTCATCTTTACGTCCCACACTGCTCAGCTCCTGTGCTCTCCCTTATGACCCTGGGGAGCCTGAAACCCCCCCTCACCACTTTGCCTTTGAGGACACCCTTGCAAGCCCCTTTGCTACCCTAGTAGTAGATACTTTGGCACAACCTTATGCTATCTGAGAAACAACCACTACTTTCTAACCATGGGCAGCAGTTCATGGGAAGCCTTGCTAGTGTCCAGCAAGCTATGGACAGTTACTCCAACAAACTGATTGTTCACTGTTCCTGAATATGGATTTCAAGTCAACTAATTATATGATAAATTGCAATTATTTTGGGAGAATATTGTAAAGGTGCTAAAAACATGATTTGATTCCCAGTCATTAGCAATTAGTTTTTCATATTCCTGAATACAGAAATGTCTAAGAAGTTTACAGTAATTATTTACAGTGTTTCTTTATAAATAAAAATGTCACCCTCAAGTGACCCTTCCATATTGCTCAAAAATTAGAGGATGTTTTCATTTCTCAGCAGAAATATATGAAATTTCGGAAACACTTCTATCAGTACCAGCTGTGAGCAAAAGGGTTGCAGAATGTTGAAGTGCTTCTGTATTTTAATCAGCATGCACTAATGAGTGGAATGAGAGGTGATGCCAAAATTAAGAGCTGTGGTCTACATCAGTAGTTGCAGAAGATTTCATCAATGAACTAGTAATCTCTGCAATGCCTGTTCTGCTCAGCAATCCCCATGCTGTGCTTCAGCCTCCAACTTTTTGCCCTTGGTTGTGGAAGACAAAACTTGGAAAGAGTGTACTGTAGAAGGCATTTAATAAAGTTAAAGATACAGTAAAATCAGACAAACATACCTACTGCCTTCCTTCAACAGTGCAATAGCAATGCGGATCCGGTTCCTCAGGAAGATCAGCATCAATATGATTACAACCTCAACAACACATAGTATTATCACTGTAAAACAAAACAAAACAAAACAAAACAAAACTATATATCTTTTCCAGGGACCAAACCAGCGTGCTATCTCTGCGGATTGGTAGTATTATCCTCATATTTTATAGTACTGTTCAGGAACTCCAAAAAACTCTGACAGAGCAGTTCTTTCTGCCACTGCACCTTTCAGCCTTCAATCCCACCTCATAAACTTGTAGGTTCTAATGTAGGGAAATTCTACATACTAGAGGTGGTCCTACCCTAACATTAGCATTTTTAATTTCAGAAGAAAAATGGAACATACCATCCTTAGATAAAGATAACTGTTCACTTTGAAAAAATAGTTGTAGCATTTGGTCTTAATATAGTTTATTATTAAATTTTATTATTTCTAAACAAGCATTTTCAATGTTCATACAGTAACTACAGGCCGGTGAGCCTCACCTCCATCCCCGGGAAAGTGATGGAGCAGCTCATCCTGGCTGCTCTCTCCAGACACATGGAGCAGAAGAAGGTACTCAGGAGTAGCCAGCATGGATTCACCAAGGGGAAATCCTGCTTGACTAACCTGATCACCTTCTACGAAGGAATATCCAGCTGGATAGATGAGGGCAGAGCGGTGGATGTCATCTATCTGGATTTGAGCAAGGCTTTTGACACTGTCCCTCACAGCATCCTCCTGGGCAAGCTCCAAAGGTGTGGGATAGATGTGTGGACGGGGAGGTGGATTAGGAAYTGGCTCGATGGCAGGGTGCAGAGAGTGGTTGTCAATGGTGCGGAGTCCAGCTGGAGGCCTGTACTTAGTGGTGTCCCCCAGGGATCAGTTCTCGGTCCGGTCCTGTTCAACTTATTCATTAACGACCTGGATGAAGGGCTGGAGTGCTCCCTCAGCAAGTTTGCCGACGATACCAAACTGGGTGGAGTAGCTGATAGCCCTGAGGGCTGTGCTGCCATCCARAGGGACCTGGACAGACTGGAGGACTGGGCGGCGAGAAACCTCATGAGGTTCAACAGGGGCAAGTGCAGGGTCCTGCACTTGGGGAGGAATAACCCTCTCCCTGCTGGAGAGCAGCCCCGCAGAGAGGGACCTGGGTGTCATGGTGGACGACTAGTTGACCATGAGGCAGCAGTGTGSCCTGGTGRCCAAGAAGGCCAACGGGATCCTGGGGTGCATTAAGAAAAGCGTCTCCAGCAGGTCGAGGGAAGTGATCATCCCCCTCTACTCAGCCCTGGTGAGGCCACATCTGGAGTACTGTGTCCAGTTCTGGGCTCCCCAGTACAAGAGGGATGTGGAGCTGCTGGAGAGAGTCCAGCACAGGGCTACCAGGATGATCAGAGGCTTGGAACATCTGCCCTATGAGCAAAGGCTGAGAGAGCTGGGTCTGTTCAGCCTGGAGAAAAGGAGGCTGAGGGGGGACCTGATCAGCGTGTATAAATACCTCAAGGGAGGGAGGGAGGAGGAGGCGGGCGGCCTCTTTTCAGTGGTGGGCAGGGATAGGACTAGAGGAAATGGCTTCAAACTGAAGCATCGGAAGTTCCACAGGAACTTAAGGAAGCATTTCTTCACTGTGAGGGTGACAAAGCACTGGAACAGGCTGCCCAGAGAGGTTGTGGAGTCTCCTTCTTTGGAGATCTTTAAAACCCGCTTGGATGCAGCCCTGTGCCACGTGCTCTAGGTGACCCTGCGTGAGCAGGGGGGTTGGACTCGATGACCTCTGAGGTCCCTTCCAACCTTCGGCATTCTATGATTCTATGATACTTTACTGCTGCTGTTTTTAGATGCACTAAAATAATCAAAAACAAGAGGGAGAGTCAACTTAGCAACCCAAAGTTTATGACTTCTTCATAAAAAGTATTTTTCTCTGATGTATATTATGCCAACATTTAGATACACTTAAACCAATAGTTTGTGTGGATATTTGCTTAGCATGCATTGCTTTCATCTCATTTTAAAAAACAAGAGGTCAGGTCAGATCAGGCACTTTGGGGCAGATTATTTTCAGCTTGCAGTAGTGCTGCTGGAATTAAACTGATGTGCTCTGAGGTCAGAGATCTGAGAGCAATGTCTCTTGGTTAAGAGCAATGTTTGAACCAGAACCCAAATCAGCTTCAGCCCGATTTCTATTTGTGTTAGTTCAAAACCAACTCCTGAAGAAAGTAAAAGACCTCTCAATTTTAATAGGAGAGGACAGGATCCTTAACACCTGAAGTGATCTCCTCTGAGCCTGAAACACATCCACTAATTCGGGGTGCCTCAGGCTACCTCTAAATAGCAGTGCTAAGTATGGCTGCATCCAGTGGGGCCTGCCTCCCCCAGCTGAAACGAGGGAGGTTTGGGGAGGAGGCAGAGGGGATAATATTCCTACGTCCATGCCTGTCTGGAGGTTATCCCTGGGAGATGGGAACTGGCTTCCTGGGTATGCAGCTCAGATAGCCCCTGGATCCAGGCAGAGTCACTGATGTCCCCAGTTACCGTCAGCCCATCTCACCACCACAGCAACCTTTGGCAGTAATCACTGTGATGCTCAGAGCCACAGGCTTCCTTGTGACAAGTTTTTGTTACCTGGACTTCAAAAACTATTTTGAAATGTTTCCTCACGGGGAAAAAAATACACACAGAATCCAATTTCTTTAAAAGCTGTTCTCGTTCTAATTTAGCTCGGTTAAGTTAAGCTAGTGMAATTAATACCAAGCATTGTGAAAAAGAAAGAATGTACTATAATGCATTCTGCTTACTTTGCTGCATGACATAACTCAAGGAGAAGACTTATCAAGGCAGAAAGTCTAATGAGATAATGATTGTGTCTTGTGAATATCCATGAACAGATACAAAATTTAAAGGGCACTTACTAAATGCTAACCATGTCTGCCTCAGCTGCAGGTACACTCTGAAGTCTGTCTGRAATCCAATATCATAAACAGTGAGGTCAGATCCAGGTGTTCCCTTCAGATGACTGTACTCCCAGTAACAATGCCAGGTACCTTTAAAAACAATCAATAAAACACAAGAGTTTCTGAAAAATGCAGAGCTACAAGTTTAAAAAATAAAAATGTTTTACAATTTAAGTGCTTTTTTTTCTTAGCATGTTAGGTAAACAAAACCCAGAAACGCATTACTGTGAGACTAGTGAACTTTAAAATCACATTGACAGAAAAGAAATATTAAGACTTCACAAAAAATAGTCAAAGAAGCTAGCAGAATGCACCTACCATATCCTATAATTCCRATCACACCAAAGATGAAGATCCAAAAAAGCACCCCAGCAGTGAACCTTAACAGCACAAGGAAGAGCAGACTCACGACCATTGCAATTAACAGCCCACTGCGAAGAGAGGAGACAGGAAGATAAGGAAAAGAAAAAAAGAGCATCTTCACTTTCTTGCAATGCCTGGTCCACCAAATGAGGGTCACTTCATCTCACACAAGAAGATCTATTTCAAAATCTATTTATGTTTCAAAATCTATTTATGAAATACATCCTCTTGAATAGCACCTCCTCTTGGAAACTAATAGCATATTTATGACAATTTCTCAGGATAGCATCAGAATCATTGTACATACTGGGTCCTCATCTTGGCTGAATGGGACTAGTACTTCTTACTTGGTCATCTGCAGCAGTCGAAGAACAAATTGCCTTTTCAGGCTATGGTCTGAACAAGACCATACAGCACAAAAAGGAAAATGGAAGAGGAAATGACCAAAAGGCCATTTTACTCAGTGAGGCTTGCAGTCATAAAGCAGTACGAGTAATAACCCCTCCAGCAAACATTCAGCTGAGATGCTTGAGAGAATGTTTCCTTTCTTTAACATTTTCAGCAGATGTTAAAAGAATGTTATATTAGAACAGACTCACAAAACTTCTAAAATCTTTTTTTACCTGTGTTCAAAAACATTTCTTCTAAATGTTCCTAGTTTGTTTTTCTTGTTAACAAAGATATAAAATGGGTCAGCCTGATCATAATCAACCAAAATTACTGAGAAATCTAGAGCAAACTAAGCCAGGAAGGCAGAGGACCAAGAAAGAGAAGAAAATTAGCTTATTTGGAAATTTTAGACTTTTAACACTTAGCCCGTTAAAGGTTTCCTAGCATGACTTATTTTCCCTTCTGATGGACTTACTTGAAATTTTGAAGATATTCCTCAAAACAATCTGCAGCTTTTGCTTGGTGTTGCTTTGCCCACTGCATTGGCAGTAGAAAATTTATGATTGTGTTAACTATATTTTGCAGATATGAATTAAAAAATCATCTATTAGATATATACACTAATGCACATTTCAAATGTAATTGGTCTGAAATCTCTTAATTGTGTTTTCCTTTAGTTTGGGAACTGGATTATACAATAGAAGTCACAGCCTACACTTTTTCTGCCTGGTAAAATATCAAGGGCCTGCTCCAGAACAATTGATGCTCTGTGTGCATGCTGTGCTGTCCTTACCTAATGTACAGAACCACTAGAACAGCATTACTACTATGTAGTAAAAAGAAATTACAGTTGCTACTTGAGTTCAATAGCATGATTGGTAACAAACACATTTTTTTTTATTATTTCTTGCACAGTCCAAAGTGAGTTTGGAAAAATTATGAATACCTGTTAAAAATCTTACATTAAAATCCAATACCAAGAACTGGCATAATCTTCAAAAATTTTCATTCCAACCGATCTTGCATCCAGGACAATATTGATGCCACTGAAAAAAAAAAGACAATCAAAAGAAAAGGTTGCTTTACCTATGAAACTGGAGAATTTATTTAAACAACAAATAGGTCAAGTGAAAAAAAAGTTGAAATATCATTCCTATCATGCGTCTCCTGTAACAAAGCGAACATCAATTTCAGTTATGTCAATGAAAATTTAGCTAAGTTAGAAGGCCTCATAAAAGGCCAGTCTAAAATGATCTGTACATCTCCCTCCAAAAAAAAGATTWAAAAAGCTCTACGGATTAACATCCACATCCAATGAGCATCACACTTAATTACTTACACACACACACACAAACACAAAAGCACTATTAAGATTTACAAAGTTCCCAGAGTCATATAGCTGCAACTCTGGAACTACCAAGAGCAGAGAGGCAGGAAACAGCATGGTTAGGCAAGAAGCTGCCCTTAAGGGATTTTTTCACTACCCTACAAGCCATCCTCCAACGTTATTTTTTTCCTAGGAAGAAATGAGGAACATGGTAAGAAGAGGCAACGTAATTGAAGATGTCAGCAGAATCACTGAATCCCACATGGATGAGGTTGGAAGGGATCTCTGGAGATCATCCAGTCCAACCGCCCGCTTCAGCAGGAACACCTACAGCATGTTGCACAAGACTGCATCCAGGTGGAAGATCTCCAAAGAAGAAAATTCAGAAAGGAAGGCAATGAGGTGTAGGTGTTACCGCAGTAGTCAAGGCTAGAAGAAAGGCACAAGAAGATCCTCCGTCCTTCAGGCAGGCTGAGGGCTGACAGCATCTGGCAAGTGAGGCTGTCATGGTTGGGACAGGTGCTGCTGGCTGTCCCTCTGCAAGGAGGTGTTGCCAAGCTCCAGAGACCCAAGTACTCTTTAACCCTTAGTCACTGCTACACAAACCAACTGGAACAGCCTTGACAGGTGGGAAGCCTGTAGCACTGGGGCAGACGGTTACCTGGGGGCTGTCACATGCAGACAAAGCCAAGGCCATTAAAGCCTGGTCTGTCTCCTGCAGCATAAGGGTTTCATTTTGAGCTTCCTTTTGGTCTGTTTAGTACTAAGTTTTGCAAGGAAAACCTGCAAAAATGATTTAAAAACTGACAATCAGCCACTCTGAGATCAACTCAAACTTTTCGTTCAACTCATTTCTGCACATCACAGGGCTGATTTTCCTTAACAGGATTTTGCAGGTTCAGGCACTAAGATACCATTTCCTCACAGGTCTGCCCTAGTTACCTTCATCTACCTGCTACAATGATTCTGACTTTTATTTTTAATTTCTAAAGTAATTCACTCAGAACCCAACAAAGAAAAAATAGTTGTGAAGAGTAAAACCTACTTTGCAGCTTCCCTCAGATCAGTTACATTTCTGGTCTTCCCTCTTCCGTCCTTGAAGGTAGTCTGATTAGCCACAGTCAGTACGCCATTCTTTGTGGAGAAGTCTGGAAAGCATCTCTTAAGAACTATTCAAAACACACACACACAAAAAAATCAAAAACAGGAGGTACAGTTAATCAAGATCCACTTTCATCATTTGTATTTTATATAAAATTATATTTAAATTGCTTCAGACTTTTTACTTGGTGAATATTGATATGTTGACTCTGACAGATCATGGAAGAGACATTATATTAAGATACAATATAATAATTTTATGCTTTGGGGCTTTTTGTCTGTTGTTGTAAAATTTAGGCATGGTGAGATCCTAGCCTTTGACTGTGTGCTTCTGAATAACAACAGGAAAGGTGTTTAAAATCTGTAATAAAAGCAGAATTTCTGGTCCAGTCAGTATCTGGGCAGCTGATCAGATAGCATTAGGGGATACCCAGGGATGGATGGCATTAGGTCTGAAAATCATACAGAATAGCAAGTTTCATCACTAACTCCCTATGCCAGATAAGTTGCAGTACTAGATGCTATTAGTAATAATTCGTGGCCAGTGACAGGACAAGGGGCAATGGGTACAAGCTGAAACCCAGGCAGCTCCATTTGCATGTGAGGAAGAACTTGTTTGGTGTGAGGGTGCCTGAGCCCTGGCCCAGGCTGCCCAGGGAGGCTGGGGAGGCTCCTGCTCTGGTGGTCTCCCAAACCTGCCTGGGTGCGACCGGGTGCCCTGTGCTCTGGGTGTCCCTGCTGGAGCAGGGTTGGACTGGATGATCTCTAGAGGTCTCTTCCAACCTCAACCATTTTGTGAGTCTGTGACTCTGTGGAGAAGAGGCAATGGAATAAATACAGAAACTACTGATTAGATAGAGGAAGAAAGGAATTATGAAAGGGAGAAAAACAGAGGGTTATGTCCTCATTTATGTCACCTTGTCCTTGGCTACAAAAACTCATGTTTTTCAGTCTAAAGAGRAGGCCAGTTTTCCTACACAACTGTACATTAACTTTATATAGCAAGGCTGGGCTTTCATTACCAAGTTCCAACAGATACTGATGTTAGGCAGTCCCCACGCAGGCAAAAACAGACTATCTACACCACATACTATTCTGAGGAAATAATTAAATTACTTGTTTCTCTTTTTCCCCTAGTAATCTTTCCTCTCTGCTGCAGTCTACAAGAAGATATCAGATTCTTGCAAATTGACTTTCTGTCTTTTGGATCAATACATCATTTAAAATATTTTTTTAGTTGAATCCATAGTTTCTCTTTTTGATGATCTGTCCCTGCTTTATCTGTTTTCTGCTTTAAAATGGAAAACCAAGCAGGTCTGTCCGTCTCTGCAGGAGCTTTAGGACCAGCAGCAGATGCTCCTAGTATTACATTCCCGTGGCTGAGATCAGCCCTAAGACCTGCAAGTGTCTATTTAAAAATACCCACTGATTTTGATGACAAAATCATCTTTTTCCCCCTTTTATTCTTTTGTAAGCACTGTAGAACCAGCCTATGACTGAAGAGCAAGCTGTATTGTAACTGGGCTCAAGGATCTGAACCCTGAATCTTGGAAGTCATCCAGCCTTTCTGTACTTGCTTGATGCCAGTGAGTTGCTTGCTCACAGGTAAGAGGTGACCGAAGGCCTCACAAATAGACAGTATCATTCAAACTGTAAAGTTTTCACTGTTAGTGATGATTCATGAGCATGAAAGAGTTTGGCTTGACCTAATCACAAAGTGAACTTTACTGGATAATAGTTAGAAAAAAAAATCTTTATACTTGCAAGCTGTCTAAAATTGATTTGGATGTCACTGGCAGATAGAAGAAAGACAGCTCCTAGCGACTTTGTCACAAAAACACTTTTCAAAATGGATTGTCATTTAATGGGGACACTAATACTCTGCTGAGACATATATAAGAAGTTTAGCCACTCACAAGGCCTGCTTGGAATGATCATCGAAGGGCAATCTTCATCACGCAGGACTTGAGCAACAGACTGAAAAGCAAAAAAGTAAGAACTGGTGAACACACAGATGAGTAAGTGCTTTTCATTTCCCACTCAATCTGAGAAAATGTCCCAAACTGTGCTTTTTTGTCTCCTCCCAAACTGATGGAGATGCAAGACACTGATAATTTGAGMGTCCAAACTGCCACATGGCATTTGAGAAAAAAATATATTCTTTTCTATTGACAAAGAAGAAAAGAATTGTTCTCACTGTATCAGCACTTAGAAGTGACTGGGCAACTGTTCTTTGCCTGCTCTTCAATTTTACTCTTAAAGAATAAAAACACAACTCATTCTAGTTATTTTGTAACATCTTTTAAATATAAGATGAATATCACACCAACTATACCAAATGCATTAATTTTCCTAGCTAAAGATATTAAGTAAGTAGCTGTGGATAAGTCAAAAACTCTGAGGGTTTCTTTGAGAGATTCTGCTTGTCTGGTATGGAGCACCTAAGTACTGGAGGAGATCACCTTCCACAGCACTGCAATTTCATGAGTAAATGCAGATATGTTTTTAAACTAATAGTAATCACTTAAAGACTGTGAGATTGTGAGTGCTTATGAGACCCTCAGCCTTGATTAAATCAGTGTCAAAACATATATACAGACAACAACTCATTTGATGACAACTGTAACAATTCACTGGCCACAAGCTGAGGCACCAAAAGTTCCACAGGAACTTGAGAAAACACTTTTTGACAGTGAGGGTGACAGAGCCCTGSAACAGGCTGCCCAGGGAGGTTGTGGAGTCTCCTTCTTTGGAGATCTTTAAAACCTACTTGGACGCAGCCCTGTGCCACGTGCTCTAGGTGACCCTGCGTGAGCTTTGAGGGACCTCTGAGGTCCCTTCCAACCTTAAGCATTCTATGATTCTATGATTGCTTTGATGTAGCTGAGCACAATCACGTTTATTATCTAAAGCTTGAAGCAAAGTTGTATTGCATCATCTTTTGATACATACACACCTTGCGAGGATTGTTAAAACCAGGTTTGCAGAATTGCTTGAAGTAATTCCAGTGATCTGCTTTATATCTGTAGGAAGCCTGAACATCTATGTAGGTTGCAAACCTGTCTGGGCACTTTGAGACACAGAGCTGCAAAAGAAGAAAAAACGAGTAAAGACACACTGGAGGTGGAAAAGGAGAAAGAAAGTCAATGCCATCGAGAAGAAGATGATAAAGTGGTCTCCTATAAAAGTGCTCTGTTTTATGAGACTGACTGCTGTAATACTTACTGCAGTATTTAGAAAGAGACAAAATATTTTTTTTCTTTCAAATCCTTAGATCAACACTTAAAATCCTTTGATAGAACACACTTTCAAAAACTCTCATACACAGCATATCTAAACTTCCTTTGCATCTTCTCAGGTTCAGCATGCTCCGGTAGACAAGTGCAACATATTTTTTGAGCCCTAGAGAAAAAACAATGTCAGTCCCTCCCTTGCTCCACCTCCAGCAGCAGCATTTACAAGCAAGCTAGAACAGGAGCTGCTTTCACAGGATACAGTGTTTCCATTATATTTGTAGAGAAATGTCTCATGCAGCTAGACTCACTTCACCCCTCCACGCTCTCTCTCCAGTGACACTGCTGGAGTCAAGTTAGGTGTGTGTCACTCATGTGAAGGTAGTTATTTGTACCCCTGACTAATGATGAAGCTCCCCAGGTAGGCTGCACGTTCCAGGAAGAGAAACCTCAGCAATCTGGACAAAGTCAATATAAACAAGATTTGTGTGAAAAACTGTGTGAGTGCGGGGTTTGATGAATGCATCCACCTGCAGGCTGTGGCTTGATTTATGTTTCGGAGAAGCGGCTGTCCCGGGAGCTAGACTTGGCAGGCTTCCTGGCCATGAAGCAAGCCTCACTTTACTTCATAAACCCATAGCTTGGCTCTAGAACCGAGACTTTCTTCATGCTCAATTCTTGCTTCCTGTCACAAACTTTTTGCTGGAAGTGGGATAGAAGAACCTTGCCTACGGTTTAGAAGAGGAATTTTCAAACGCAAGTTTCTTCAGCATTTTCATAAAGGGCCTTAATATTAAACATGTGCAGAAACAAACAGCATTCAAAAACTGTCTCAGTTTTGGGGACGTTGTATATTTGAAAACGGACAAAAGAGCAACACACTTTTGCAACAAGTGTGTCACTGTAGTGGATTCAGGATCAGTGCCAGCTTGACCACAGCACCAGGCCGAGGTATTCCCAAGCTGTCCTACCACTGTGGACTAGCGTGCAGTGTGTGAGGCGACAGCACCACTGGGGCACACGGGGCTCCGGAAGGCAAACTTGCTGCTGACCAGTAAAGTTTCCTCTCTGCTAGCACCTCACCAGCTTCAGAAGGGTTCTTGCTCCCTCTGGCTAGAGGGTTACATCCCTGTGCCACACAGTCACACTCACTGATGGGCCAAACGCATCAGCAAGGATGGGGATCAGGAGTAAGGACAAGTTGGAATGGGAACCATTCCTAAATCACAGTTCAGTAAAAAGTCATTTAATGCTTGTAATTAGTAAACTGGCTACCACATAGAAGCCCCCACACAGAGGAAGAGCAGACTTAACTGATTGTGGCCAACTTGCCTGAGACCACGTTCTACTCCCTGCCGTTGAACTGTATCTACTGCTTCAGCAGCAAGCAAGCCCTGCCCCTGCTCATTTAACATAGTCAATGCATCACGTACATGTTCAGTTCTTAAGTACCATGACTGAAAAACAGGAATGATTTTTTCTGTCTGTATCTTACTCACCTGTGTTGTAGGGCACTGCAGATTTATTAACACTGCTGGGCTGGCACATTTCAGAATGTTAAAGTAAAATAAAAGGGTCTTGTTCCTACAGAAGTGGATATAAAACATGGAATTGTGTAAGTATGGATGCTTATACATCCTGCCATACCTAGATTGATATTAAATGTTGATATTTTAATTCTATTTTCCTAAATGGCCATATTGCAAATCCCACACAAACACACCAACCAACCCACAAGCAGATCCTCAATCTTTTCTGCCAAGACATCTTTTAAACTGAAGGTATTTGACCTAAGAAATATTATTTTTGAGGCAGTTTTTCCAGAAGCTGCCCCAGGCCCTGTTACAGCACCAGTAGTCCCRCTGGAGGCCGTACAGAGCTGTCCCACAGCCACCGTGCAGACTGTGGTGTTCCTGCTGCTCTGGCTGAACATTGCTATGGGCAGAACCATGCTGTGAGTGCCTGTTATTTTGTTAATCAGTTGAAAATCAATCTAGAGCCTTCCATAGCTGGAAACTCAAAGCAGTTGCCCAAGAAAGACGATGATAATGGCATCTGATAAGAATACTGATAAGCTCCTTTGACATCACTAAGGACCAAGTAGTGTTCCTGCATTTTCTGAAACTTAGGATGCAGCGGTAGGTATCTCCTAAACTTCGATTTACTGAAATTTCATCACCACAAGATGTCTCGATTTAAACACATGGGTTTTGGAAAAAACAAAACCTGCAGTTAAACTCTTCTCTGTCAGGAAACTACTGATAGTTGYAGTTATGTTGACAGGGCACTAGTCCTGACCTCTCTACATGAGGCCTCACAGCCAGCTGGCCACACCAGGACTACACCATCCCCGTAGGAAATGATGACTTGCACGGCCCCTGTGGCCYATCTCTGCCATGTGCTGGGGCTTCTGAAAAGCGGAGAGCCAGGCCATGTCACATTATGGGAGCCAGGTCAGGTCACGGAGCCAGGCCATGACATACCATGCACACCAGGACATGGGAGCCAGACCAGGAGCCAGGCCAGGCCATGCAAGCCCTGCAAGCCAGGCCATGACACACCATGCCAGCCAGGCCACGGGAGCACAGCCAGGCCATGGGAGCAATGGGAGCCATGGCTGGCAGGGGCAAGGCGGTGCGACAGGACAGCAGGGTGCCTGGGAGAGCCAGGCTGAGGGGCAGGCCCGTGTTCCCCAAGCAGCGATGTGTCCTTGGACCTCCCACTGGCACAAGACTCCCTCCACCTGCTCAGGGGTTCTGTCTTCCCAGGCCATGGCGGAGCATCACGGCACACTCAGGTGCCCACGATAACTGGAGCTAGCTCAACCGCTGGACTGCTGAGAAGGTTATGCTGTTTTCAGGGAGGTATCTTCTATCGTACATATAAAAGACACTTCCTGACAAATACAATTCACAAACATGAGCTGCTCTTTCAAATCAGTAAAATACTGGATTGAAATGTCATCTTCCTTCAATAGTTTGCTCAGAGTGTTTATAATCTGTGAGTTGCTTAGCAAAACTGATGTCAGCAGTGATCTCCTTACTTGTAAAGTCTTTGTGCACTTGCTGATATTGGCAGCAGAGAAAAAGGACTAAATGTACATGTAATGGCAGATGGCAGCCACAGAGAGGCTGTCTGTCCTTTACACTCCTACATCCTTCACAGCTGAACTCTACTGCACTCTGCAATCAGTCTGCCTCCACAGGAGGCAAAACAGCAGCAGAGATTACATGGAGTTAATGGATGGATGACAGGGAGACAAAATGATGCCTAAAAGAAAATCTTATGACAACATATGACAGAATTAATTTGACTGCATGGAATTCATGGAGCTCAACGGGTTCTCGATTGTTTGCTTGGTTTGTTTTTGCATGAGCTGTGAATATTGGCTTGCTTGTTAGCTTCTCTTTTCTACCACTCAGTGAAATTGCAGAGGACTCTTGATCCACACACAAGATTCGAAGTACAGCGATGGTCACCCCTTCCTAAGGAAAAGGTCTCCGAGTAAGCCATCAGAAACCCCCTTGTCCCAGGTGAGCCTTTTGCCCTGCCAACTCTCAGATGGTATCTGTAAAGGTCTGATAAGCACATCACATGCCTCCACTTTTGGGGACTGGATGTGTTCAGAGGAGCCCTGGGAAGCTCTAATGTTAATCCTACCTTCCTAAAAGTTGCCTTGTGAATCTTTTGGTTTATATTTTTATTACAAGCACTTCAAGGTGACATGCCAAAATGCAGCCTCAATAGCTGCATTACCCTCTAGCCCCCATGCATATAGAAAGCCATTTGTGCACACAAACTGAAGATCATATTGCAAGAAAGAACCAGGCAGCAACAGTTTAGCATTGCTCTCATACAGGGAAACATGGAATGATTTTTCAAAGGGTTATTAAATGTCCCAAACTCTGCAGCCAGCAGCTCTGCCACCTAGTCACTGTCCGTGCAATTAGCGAGGCAGTCTTTAGGTTATACTGACATTTATTGAGCGAATTCTCCCAGTAACAAAAATAACTGCATTATAGTAAAAAATTGTGTCTAGATGTACATCAAGCATCTAAGCTATTTCTGCACCCTATCTGGGTGAGTAAGAGAAAGACAAGTGTTGCTGCCTCTCCAGCTTCCATGCAAGAACCTCGAGCAGACAGCAGATCTGAAATCTCATCCCTTATCCACACTGCATGGGCAATAAATGTAGGTGAATTGATTTAGTACTCACTCATTGGGGGTGTCTTTTTGACCACAGAACTGCCCATAGCTGTCCGTTGGATAAATCACTTTCCTGGGGTCGCCATGCACCCAAGCTGCAAAAATACATATACCTATTAGCATTCTAACCAAGCATCCATCAGTAGATTGCTAACAGTGGAAATTCACTAGCATAAAAATGCATCATCACTCATGCACWATTTCAGTCTTTTTGGATGGTCACTGAAGAGCATTGATTTTCCTTAAATAGCAGTCTTCTTAACGAAAAAATAAAATGAAGTAAAACAAAACAAGAATAAAATATGGATGAAACAGTAAGAAAGCCAGTCCCTACACTTTTTAGCTTCAGGACACATATCTGGGTTGTAATCAAACCAGAAGGCAATGGGCTTAGAAAATAATGGTTGTCAAATGGGAAAGAAGAGCTGTTGGCTTTCAGTCTAGAGCAATATAAGCTGTACACAGACRGAGGTGAGACTGCATTTGTGACCTGGGCATGTGACACTACACAGGGTGCTACTGAGTCTAGCGTGCACCAGCTGCACTGAAAATGCAAACAACCTCTCACTTGACAAATTAAAACATTAGAACAAAATAAAATTCCACATTAATACCCTCTTCTGGAACCCTAGAACTGGGTTTGCTAAAGGATTATAATAAAACACTGTTGATCCTCCCCCAACCATTTCTTTATGCTCATATTTGTAGAAGAGAGAAAAAGATTTTAGCCCCAACCTTTGCTCCCTTGCACTTTAATGAAGTTAGGAGCCACTTTGCATATGCTTTAGCCTTTGATCTATGCAAATCACATTGAACTTACTTCTCTATAATAACCTCCATTTTGCCTCAAATATGTGGCTTTAAATTTAGCCAGTTGTGAAACCACTCTCTATATGATGATTGGCCCTGACACATAACATATCTTGAATAAATTGTAAATAGCTCTACTACTGTCCACTTGCATGGAATCTGCACTGTGTTTCAAGTTGTGTTCTTCTAATGCTCACAGAAGACTAAAATGCTTCATCCCTATGAAACCTCTTATGTTATTTCACTAGTTTTACTTACCAGGAACATTTAGGAGGCATCATCTTTTTCCTACAAATTTCTACAGTCAGTTGATCACTCACTTATACATGTGCACATGAATTCAGAGAGCTGCTAACTCTTTGTTGATTGCACTCAATCTGCAGGTTATATCACATGCCATTTCGTCCATCATTACTCTGAAAAGGGAGCTTTCCTTCCACTTCAACACTACCTCGCTTTCTACACACTGAAAAGCCTTGGCCCAAATGGATCGAGGTCCTATGCCAATCAGAGAGGTCTTCAGGACTTACTTGCACAATGCTAAATGGTTCTTCTATATTAGTCTTTTCCCACTTCCCCCACCCCTCTTTTTAAATTAATTAATTATTAATTATTTTAACTTAATTATCTAAATTTTCTATTTMATTACTTTTAATGGAAGGGCTATCTTTTCTTATTTAAGTGTGTTTTTCTAACACTAGCACAACAGGAAACAGCAAAGAAGCTCCATCATGCCAGATTTAAAACGCTGATGAGAATGAGCAAAGCTTCTACCTGCCTTCTACAGATAATTTTGAAGTAGCTCCTACTGCCAAGAATACTCCTTTCCTAGATAGCATATTAAATCTGGAGCTACTTTTTCCTCCTCAGACAAACCTCRAGGGAGAAAAACATTTTTTTAAAAAAATATTTACTATCTCAGTCCCTCACTTGCATGTACAGCAATCTGCTATGAAGAATCTTTCCACCAGAACAGCCATGTATCTCAGGCTTAYATCATTCAGTCTGCTTGGATGGACTAAAACAGTCATTAGGAATAAAACAGAGTTCATGAAGTGAGCAGAGCAGCGTATTGTCCTCATTCTTTTTTCTTTCCAGGATACAGTCTGCTGAAATCTTTCAAAAGGCTCTCTCGGTTTCACTGTGTTTGTATCGCTCCCTAACCTCATAAAACTTCATCACTCATCTCCTGCAGTGCTTGCCTATGCTTAGCAGAATGAGGAAGATGCAAACGGTGGAACGTGCTGCTCATGCCTCTGCTCGCAGCTTCTGCATTCACTGCTGCCAGACGCACTGCACTTGCCCGTGTCCAACTGCTCGGCAGTTGCTGTCCTGTGTGCCTCTGGCTTCAGCCATGTCGAGGCAAGAGAACAGCATTAATAAAAATTTCACTCTGAAAAAAAGATTTAGCACACTTTTCTCTGTGAAATTTCACCACCGGAGCAGCTGCTGCGTGGAAGCAGGAAGATGCCGCTMAACTGCACTGCAAAGCAGAAGCAGGGAGAATCGGTCGACTTCAGACCATATGGATCTAGCATTTGAATAACAGAAGTAGAAAAGGAAAACAACAGAGGAGAAAATACGCAGCTTCTTCCTTTGTCTGTGCCCTGGTTAAGCAGCAGCACTAATAAACTTCCTCCTCCGCTACTTTCTAGGTAAACATGGAACAATGATGGTGAAAGAATCCATACGATAAATGCACTTTTTGCAGCCAGCTCAGTGAAGAATGGTACCTGATTCAGGTCTCTTTCAGGTAACAAGGTTATCACAACGCGACAGCATCATGTTTTCTTGGCTGTGCTGCCCTACTGATGACCCAATATCAACAACGCTAAGTGAAACAGAATTGAGTCATATCACGTTTTTATTCCAGCACATTCTTGCACTCCTAAGGCCGCAGCCACAGCGCTGACACCAGCATCTGGGCTGAGCAAGAAAATTAAAAACCAGCTCAGCCTCGAGCAGCAGTGGGACAGCGTGACACCAATACAGCATTTGACTAGGACCTGCTGCCAGGAGGCCTGTGATAACGGCCCGTGTCCTGGTGCAGAACAAACACACATCCCAACAGCCCCTCTCCCTAGAGGTGCAGTCCCGCTTTCCAATGCTGTAGCTGCATCAATGCTTGGTTACAAAGGCTGGAAGCTCCCCACCAAGGAGTGAATGTGATCAGAACACAAGACCTGCTGATACTTAGAAAATAACTAAAGTCGGTTTAGATTGCCTGTCTCATCCTCTCTACAATGTAATTTTATAAGAGCAAGTTTTCATATCATTATTGTTTCTCTTCATAGTGTATCTTGAATGTTTTAATGTGTGCAGAAAGTGGYCTGCCACATTGCACTTTGCGCATTGCACTTTGCGCTTTTTAACACAAGCAATTTACTAATGCAGTGAAGCAAGTAATACAACATATGATGCTGATGATTCTGCTGTTGTATAAATACCCCCTAGAGCAAGATGACGTTCAGTTTTGTACAAGGAAAAAAATAAGCTCATGACTTCAGGGTTATCCAGCAGGGCAGAGGTTAGTCCTTATTTATACACCTACAAACAGACTGCTCCAGGAAAGCAAGGATTTCATACGTGGAGCTATAAAATTGGAAAAAAAATGGCATCCAGAATGTTGTAAACTGTCATCAAAAAATTTATACGATCTCAAGTCTGCATTCAAGATTTGAATCCAACAGGCATTTTTTATAAGAACAGAGTAATGCTAAAATGGAAGAATAATCCCTAACCATGATTAGGGATAATATACCTTTAAGGCCTATTGGGCGCTTTAAGGATCATAATTCCTCAGCACGGTTAAGTCTGCTTCAGGATAAAAACCCCACACTGTTCTCTCAAAGCACAGGGCAGCACCGAGAAATCTGATATTACAAAGTGTAAAGCTGCATCTGAGGACAGATACCACTGATTGGGACGGTGACATTTGGATGGGAAGCGATTCCTGCTCATACACAAAACTGAGCTTTTTCAAGAGGAGGGAGGCAAGAGCTTTCTGAGCAGGAGGCAGAGAGGAGGCAGGACGGCATCCTGCTCCACACAGCCGAGCGGGACGGGGGAGACCGCGGCCCTTTGGGGTTTGCACGGCGGAGGCTAAGCCAGCCTCGCCCGCACACTGCCCGTGCTTCCAGCAGCAGGGCTTCTCTGCACCGTAAATAGCTCTAGAGTTACAGGGAAAGCTGATGGCTTCTCTTACATCTGGGACAGGGTCAAAACAAACTTTTACAGGTAACTTGGGCAAGCGTGGCCAAATGGGCAGGTACACAGTAAGTATGTTTCACAGCATCACATAAAGGCATTAGAAGTTTCCTCACACAAGCAAAACGCAATGGATATTACTAACAAAAATTCGGATGTGACAACACTTCTGGATCCCATAAATMAGTGCAATTATCTTTGTCTTCTCCATTCACTCACATAGGTTCTTTTGGTAATATTTTCAAGTACGCAATGCCTCTTAAAATGAGATATTTAGATCTAACTTTTGTTGTTGACAAATAGTTTTTTTCCACTACAGTTATAGTTTATGATACCAAAATTACTGAACTATGGCACTTTTACTTAAAAATCCTTCAAGTTTTTCATCAGCAAACAGGCAGTTTTGAACTTCTTCCCTGTCACAACAGACATTGAATGCTAATTCCTGAATTGTTTCTACGCAAAACATTGATTAGAAAGCTTTATGTAGACTTAAACAGATGCCTCAGTTAAAAGCAGTAACATTCACAGAGGTGCTTCCCCTGCRCGCAGAAGTGTTACTCTACCTGTGTGCACTTACCCACTATTCCTAACGCAATGTAAGACAGAATGACGGCTATGAAGATCACACAGCAAACCACATCTGTGCAGTGCCTGCAGAAAGAAAGGAACGTTGTTTTAAATGAAGTGTCTAAGGTGGTCCTTTGCAAACACTGAGTTCCATAATGAATTTCACATCAGAACATACTGTAAGCATATTTATATCTGCCACTGGTATTTTCTGAGGTCTCATTCACAAACCATGTTTGAGCTGCAAGGCCCTGCTTTCATGGGAAGAATAGCAAATAAACACGTAGATATATAACAAATACTCCATCGCAGACAGCAATAAAACTATATTGAGGAAGAGACTGGAATATTGTTAACAGCAATACCTTACAACATTGAACACAGAGGTCACTTACAGTATAAGCTACTGCAAAACATCCGTAACAGCCTCAGTATCTATCATCAGTATCTATGATGCTTAAAATTAGCATCAAATATTCCTGAAAATAGTTTGAAATCGGGTTTCAACACTGCTTACCTGTGTTGTGAATAGGTTATGAGTGGAAAATAGCAGAGAACAAAAGGAGAAAAACTGCGATGCAAATACCCCAATCTCTGCATAACCATCTCCCATGGCTTGACCTCACACAGCGCAGCTAAAACTGCACCACGAAGGAGAAGGAAAATTCTGCGCAGGGCCAAGCGCCCCACTACGGACAGGCAACCAAGGCACAGCTCTTGCTCAGCTAACCAAGACAACTGAGCGCCCAATTAAACCCCTGGCCTTTTCCTGTTGGTCTGAATATTCAATTCCTGCAGGCACATAAGTGGAGATGTGTAGCATTAGACTCAGTTTTCACTTCTGTCCTCTAGCCTTGAAAGCTCATCTTTAGGCACCCTGAGATCTTTCTGCACTTATAATTCTACTAAAAGTTGACTTCTAGCTTGGTACTATAAAACCTGAGCCTGAGAAGTCTCCAGGTGACTCCACCGAAGCCAGTGAACTCTTCTAAAATTACAGGTATAATCATGGTCACCTCTGTAGGTCTGTGCAGGAATGCAGTGCTAAGGCTGCAGGACAGCACCAGCATCCAGGACGATGCTTTTTCAGGTCCGTTCCTCAGCACCTGACCTTGATTGAGCTACAGGCAATTATGGAGCACAAGGCAGGACACTGCTAGAAAAGTGGGCAGCAGAAGGGCGAGTGGGTAGGCAATACATCCTTAGGACTTCAGCTACAGACAAGCAATTTTCTCCCTCATAAAATAACTTCACAAGCTCTTGCTTATAAAGATGAGTGAACAACATGACACCAGGARAGCTAATTAACTCCTGGGTAAAGCACAGGACCGCCTTCATGACCTGAGCAGCATCCTGCTCTTTTCAAGGGGCCAACTATATAACCTACAAAAAACTGTAGAAGCCAAATTCAAACTTGTGCCTACCAATCTTTCTATTTTCCAGTCTGAATTTCCTCTTATTCCTTCACACATAGGAGATAAAGCTGTCAGATCTTTTAAACAACTGGAGAGCTTGAAAAGGAGCATGTTCCAGGTGAAAAGAAGCTGATGTTTGCTTCTGTAGGTTGCTCTAGAAAGTTTCAAAACCTCACCAGAAGTGGCTGCGAGAGAGGCCAGGCTGGTTCGGGGCTCCGGAGGGTTCTCGTCTGGCAGAAGCGACAGCAAACACTGGGGCACACTGCTCACCCGCCCAGGCCCTGCCTAGGAGCAGTYCTGGCACTGTCAGCTCAAGCTGAGTTTTGTCCCATCCCAGCAATGTTTTAAGTGGCACAGTGTTTAATAAAAGATGCCTCATGAGAAACATTGCACTGTAAATATCTTAATTACAACCCTAAATTCTCCAATACCTCTTCCAGTGCAATCCTCACAGGTCTCATTTTACGATAACTAAATATAATTAAAGGGTTATTATACTCCTTTGTGCCAGATGCCACTTTAAAGTTTTGCAGAATTGCCATGAACAAACACTTTACTAGAATGTGGCTCCAAGTATTGCTTTGACAGAAATACTAAAATATTATAAAAACTAAATAAAACCTTTCTGAGTAGCTTCAGAGGATTTTAAAATAGTTCATAGACACTAATTCTGGTATTGCGTATTTCACTAGATACAATGAGTGAAACCATACCTCTATTTAATGACAATGTTAACTCAAGTAGCTTACTTTCAGCAAAACTAGAATTTCAGAAGCACAAGGATCCACGGGASAGAAAACAAAGAGTTAGAAAAAAACTTAAATTGATGAATTGAAATAATTCTCTTATGATACAAAATTGTCCTGTGAAGTCACTGAGAGTTTCCAAGGCTGCAGGAACTGAAATGATGGAAATTAACTCTTCCCAAAAGAGAAAGATATTGGAAACTTACACTTACTACTTAAACCAGTTCAGAACACACCCAGTCATGTTTTAACTGAAATCAGATTGGATGTGGAATGTTGAAAACTAAGAGTGAGATCTGTTATGGTCAATCCACTTTTCCACTTTGTTTCCAGAAAACGAGACAGAGGAAAATCACTCCAGAAACGAACTATTAAACTGAATCCCAAGGAAGATGGATTAATGGATGCATGGTTTTGAGGTTAGGTATTGAAAACATAGTTTATTATATGGGATCTTTAACRTTTCTTATGACTAGTACTGCTATAATTTTATATATTAATTATGTGTCTGCTATAGTTTTACACATTAATTATGTGTAACCACTCAAAAGAACATAAAAAGCACCTCCATTTCCAATGGCATAGATGATGAAAACATTAAAAATGCTTCTGCTAAAAGCAAGGCCGTATAGACAATCATGTGCACAACAGAATATACTAATATTGTGAAAGAGCAATATCCTATTGCATCATGCATGAAAATATAAAGAAATAATAATGAAATTGATTGAAAACAAGGTCAGTTTTGAAATTTTAAGTTACTTAAAAGACACCAAGCCCTGGTGAGACTAACCATCTATTTGAACATTGCACCTTCTTTAGAGGTAAATCACACCACAAGAGTCATCTTTTCTGGGTGAAGTAAGAAAACATCTTCATTTGGTTAAGCACACATTTCAGGCTCCTGCACTGTATKTTACTGCTGTCATTTGGGTTAATCTACGGGGCCTAATTTGCTTTCCAACGCCTTTCAGCAATGTGCTGGCTTCTCCCACCGCATCACCTGGAACAGCGTGCCATGGAGTGGAGTCCCAGCCAGTGAACGACTGACTGACAGGCAGATAGGAGGATAGACAGCCAACAGAAATCATCAACAGTGAGGAGCAGCACTCAGCAGCTGTTACTCACTGAAGAGTCATACACATTATGGTTGGTGACTACGCAGGATCCATCTCCTTTTGGCTGTGTCTCACCCAAGCCCACTCGACCTGTCACAAGGGCAATTCTGCTCAAGGTGCTGCTCTAAGACTATGCTCATCAGCTAAACAGTCATAGCTCATCACTGTATTAGCACCTGCAAACGATCTAAAGGCAGGCACTACCCAAACAAGGCTCAGGGCACTGCAGGCAGCCTGAAGCCACCACGTCCACATGAAGCGAGTGCCCCTGTCCTTGCTTGTGCCTGCTTCCTCCCCGCTCACCTCACACACACAGCCAGGCTGCCCTGCCTGTCACCCTGCGCCAAGGTGACGTCCTGCTGTCTCACCATGTAGCTTAACTGCAGCTCTGGAGGCCCCTGATGCCCTGGGGCTGAACGGAGTAGCAGTGTCCAGGTGTTCCTCTCCGGTAAACGCAGTCACACCAGGGCATTGGCCCGCACCAGTAAACAAGTGTTCGCGGATGCTTCTTTGCAGCCCCCCAGCTGAAAGGCCATTTCCAAATGGAGGCCAAAAGCGCACAGAGCAGGATACCGAGATTTTCACTGTGAGAATTTTTCTACCAACCAAGTCTACATTTCCTTCGGAGAGTCATTAATGAGCACAGCTGATTTGCACGGGCCCATACTGGCTCACTGAGCTGGTGTTTAATTTCAGGCACCACGATCTAGAAAGCAGTGTTTAGTTCTGGAAAACAAGTCTCAATATTGACAACCAAAATCTGTGGGTGGCAGCTGTCTGTAGACACTGCAGAAAGCAAGAAAAAGGCAAGCTTTCCCATTCCTATAAGTGACTGCGCAACACATTATACTGATATGGACACAACATGTAATCAAACGTATACAGAGCAACAAAGCCTGCTAGCAAAAAAAATGCTTAACTGGTTTCCATTCATGGTGGAAAACACTGTCTTTACTTTAACAAGAGCATTGATCTTAAAAGAAGACATAAGCCATCAGAGCTAATGCAGAAGGTGACAAATTGAAGCTTATARAACATAACCAGCAAGAGGAATTTAAGATATTCAATGAACAAAAAGGAACCCAAAGGCTGTCATACCTTTATTAGTCTTCAGTTACATAGAGAACTAATATAAAAAGAAATGAAATGATCTAATCTCTAGATCTATGATGTTCTCACAAGAAAAAGGGGATGAAACTCCAACAAAATACACAGTTTATGAAAAAAAAAAAAAGTCTTTCTAATGGCTAACATAGTGCAGCACCAGCACTGTGCCGGAGAGCCTGCAGTGCAGACCACCAAAGGACAGTGAGATGAGCTGCTCTTAGAAATGGATGCACTTGATGTACTTGATTCTATTTTGAGGCTTGGGGTTATAACTAAAAGATTTCCTAAAAATCCTATTACTCTTACTTTTCTATGATTCCATGTCTATAAATGCACTAGCCTTAGTCTTCTTGGGAAGAGAAGCCACAATGGAATACAGAGGTAAAAGCAGGCCAGAAGGAAAAACATCAGTTTGACTCATCTACCAGTACCATACATAGAGAAGTCAACAAAAGCAGCCAGGATGCCTCAAAGCACCCAGCACTGGCCCAAACCCTGTGTCCCAGAGAAGGATGGCAGTGGATATGGACAGGACGGAGAAAGACAGGAGAGGGATCTTAGGCAGCGGGGCTCCAAACATGACACTACTGAATACTTCATGTTTGAGGTTTGGTTACAGAAAGGTTGAGAACCACAGCAAAGTGTATAGCAGGGCCAGGGAGTTGGAGAAGAAAAAATCCTCAGGAATGCTACAGGAAAATCACAGAATGAGGAAAATAGGGCAGGGACTGGAAATAAGAGCAGGGACAGAAATAACCCTCAGCCTAGTAACTGACCTTCAAACAACTTTAATGATAGGAAGCTTGTAAACACAATGTTACATCTGTGAGACCTGCAGACTATTTTTAGTATTTGTAGTCACAAGACAAATCCGTTTCGTTGCAGCATTTCTTGGCAGTCCGCTGTTACGCTGTTACTAACTCTAATTTTATGCTCTTGCACTCTTGTGTGGTTTCGTACAACGGTCAGCAGCCTCCTCCACCACTGTGCTCATGGCAAAGGGGAGGAAAGAGAAAAGTWACAAACTGTTAAGAGTCACAGACTGTTAAGAAAATACCCTATATCCACCTGCTTCCTCCGATTTAAAATGGTTTTGTCCAAGACACTTGGTAATAATCACTGTAGCACCTCCTAAACCAGTCAGGTTTGTCAGGCTCTTCTCAATCACTGCGGAGCTACAGGACTCTACTCTGTGGATCTGATTCAAGGCTTTTTGGAAAGCAGGTCTGGAGACTGAAACTGACCTGCASTCTATCCTTCCCCTTACCCAGTGCACCAGCCTATGCAGTGTCCTGGGCAAAAAGATGCTGTTTAGCTTATTTCTGTCAGGTTTAACCCAATCCAAGAATAGGCGCCTGAAAGATACTTGTATTAAAGACTGAAATTAGGGATGGAGAAAAAAAGAGAAAGCAGTACCATTTAATGGCAACAGACCTTTATTGCTCTATGGAAGAGAAGATTTAATTCAGCGCCAAGTCCTTCTAAAGGTCAGCTTAGCTTATAAGCAAAAATAAAGGGTATTAATTCGAACAGTTAAGCATGCAGGAAAGTGTGAGACAGCAGGTTGCTTTAATATTACCACATCCATAATTATGAAGTTATTTTATTTTAGGTCTGAGGTATGACTGTTCATTTCTAATGTTTTTAAATTCACATATGCAGTAAGTAGCAAAACTGCTTCCCATGGTATTTTAATATATCTAAGATTAATGACTGTGAAAACTGAGATTTTGTTAACACTCATCCCAAACCAAACACAGCATGACGATGATCCATACAAATTCCTTCAAAGTGCTCTGCAAGTATTTTCGCGTTCTGCAATAAAATACTCTTTGCAGTACAACACTTTTTTTAGACAAAGTCTACCTAGAGGGGCTAGAGATTCTTTTGAAAATCCTTGGAGATGATCAAGACTGAGGGGACTCTGCTTGAGCAGACAGTTGGACCAGATGGTCTCCAGAGGTACCTGCCAACCTCACAGATTCACACAGATTCACAGAATATTTAAGGTTGGAAGGGACCTCTACAGATCATCTAGTCCAACCTTCCTGCTCAAGCAGGCACACCTACAGCATGTGGCACAGGGTGGCATCCAGGCGGGTTTGGAAGACCTCCAGAGTAGGAGACTCCACAACCTCCCTGGGCAGCCTGTTCCACTGCTCTGTCACCCTAACAGTAAAGAAGTTGCTCCTCACCTGGCGACGGAACTTCTTGTGTTTCAGCTTGTGGCCATTACCCCTCATCCTATCACTGGCCACCAGTGAGAACAGCTTGCCCCCTTCCTCCCTGCATTCTCCCTTCCTGAACTTAYACATATTAATCATATCCCCTCTGAGCCKTYTCTTCTCCAGAGAAAACAGGCCCAGCTCACTCAGCCTCTCTTCATACGAGAGATGTTCCATTCCCTTAATCATCCTGGTTGCCCTTCTCTGGACCCTCTCCAGAAGCTCCACGTCCCTCCTATACTGGGGTGCCCAGAACTGAACACAGTACTCCAGGTGCGGCCTCACCAGAGCTGAGTAGAGGGGCAGAATCACCTCCCTTGACCTGCTGGCAACRCTCCTCCTGATGCAGGCCAGGATCCCATTGGCCTTCTTGGCCACGAGGGCACACTGCTCACTCATGGTTAACTTAGTGTCAACCAGGACTCCCAGGTCCCTCTCYGTGGAGGTSCTTTCCAGCAGGTCGACCCCTAATCTGTMCTGGTGCCTGGGGTTATTCCTCCCCAGGTGCAGGACCCTGCACTTGTCCTTGTTGAACCTCATGAGGTTCCTCTCTGCCCAACTCTCCAGCCTGTCCAGGTCCCTCTGGATGGCAGCACAGCCCTCCGGAGTGTCGGCCACTCCACCCAGCTTGGTGTCATCTGCAAACTTGCTCAGGGTGCACTCCGTGCCCTCGTCCAGGTCATTGATAAACAAGTTGAACAGCACTGGGCCCAGTACTGACCCCTGGGGGACACCACTGGCCACAGGCCTCCAACTGGACTCGGCCCCATTTATCACCACCCTCTGAGCTCTGCCATCCAGCCAGCCCTCGATCCACCGCACCGCACCGCACCTCGACCATTCTGCAACGCTCACTGTGCTAAAATGCAGACTGAGACATTCCGTACAGTATGCATACGTGTTCGTAAGACCTAAACAGATGRAGAAACTGGGGTTCATTTAACTCATGGATTAATTTCAAGACTAGAACCTACATTTAGAACAACAGCAGGTCAGAAAGTGACATGCCAACTAATCTTTTCTTCTTTTGCCAAGATTTCATATTTTCTGAGCATTTTCTRGTCAAACAGAGAAGAATTGAGTATATAGTATAATCATGCAAGTTTAATGCATATAATTTTTCACTTTTTAAATGTTCATTTTACTGTTAGTCATCAGCAAACTGAAATGCGTTATACTAAATAATTTTTTTCCAGGAGCTACCAACATTAAATATTAAATACATTCTTTATGATTAACAGGAGACCAAATAGTGGACAAACCTTGAGTACTCCCAGGGCCCTCTACCAAGATGCATTTCACAACAGACCCGGGCTTCATACAGATTTTAACAAAAAAGCAAGTTGATAAATCTTATYGAAAGACAATTGTTATTAAAAAATCTTGACATTTCAGTTAAATGAAAAGATGTTTGACTATTATGTCAAACCATTTATCTGCATTACTGTAGTAGCACTATAACATATGTTAATAAGAGTTTTATACCAGTTTAAAGACAGATTTTCTGTTAGAACTTACATGACACTGAAACTGCCCGTGTATTTGTGATGCAGGCCATTCACGACATTAAAAAGTTCTTTTTTTTTTTTTTACATTGAAGTTAATAACTTAGGGAAAGGTCTTTTAAAAGGTGTACTGGAATAGAATACTAAAGACCACTTCTTATTTGTGCTGCACACAAACACTTGTGGAAGCTTTTACAGGATGCATTTCTAGTCTTAGCCAGTCATTGATGAATATTAAGGTGAAGGCAATAAAAAAACTCCTCCTTTGTAATAAGTACTTTACTACACCTAATTCTGGCATCTGTATGCCAAAATGGCTACTCAAACATTCTAGAGAGCATAGAGAAGGAATGAAAAAATATTTTAAGAAAACACTCCATTGTTGAAATAGGAGAAAGGGCAAAGCAAAATAGTGGGGCATTCAAACAGAAGCTCTCTTATACATAAACAGACACTCGTATACATCTCATACACTAAGAGAACAACTTTTTTTTTTTAAATTAAAAATAAAGGCATTTCCATATAAGTGATGATGTTCTTTCAATGCAACTTCAAATTCTGTTAAACTTCAGGCTGCAGTGCATTATAAACAACTCTGCAATCCAGAGAGGTGTAAGAGAGATTTTACTCAAAGGAAAGTTCAGATTACCACCTACCTACATGCTTCCCAAAGTTAGAGATATAAGAAATCCACATTTCATGAAATCTGAAATAATACTGTAAGAGTCAATAACGTCAAATYGCAATGTCTCTTCATGGTTTAGCAACACAGCAAGCAGGAATTCAGATGTACTATTTAACAGGACAGTCAGATGATTCTGGCAGAAGGCTGTAACAAAGCAGTGTTTTGTACCTGCTTCGCCCCGCTCTTAGGTTGGATGCAGTCCCTTTTCAGCGCACATTTCCATGGTGTACAAGACAGTTTTGCAGAGAAGAGGCAGACAGTCTCAAGAGACGCAGAAAGGGGATGGGACAGCCCAAGAGGAGCTCGGTGTGATGGAATAAATAACTTACTTCTGGATGGCAATCTAAATAAATAATTTCATGCCTACAGTCATAAAGCAAGGAAACAAAGCCAGGTCTCCAATCCTACGCTCAGGCCAAGAGCACTGGCGCATAGTGGTCTGTGCTAGCCACCACCAGTGATAGGGCAAACAGGTCRAAGCTCTGATTTGGGCAGTTATCCAAGATTACAACCACAGCACACAGTACTTTAGGGGGAGATATCTGAGAAAAGGAACAATTTCAGTACTCAAGACCACAAAAAGAACCAAGGAAAGATGCCTTGGAAAGAATCAAGATCAAGACTGCAACAGAGTCCAGCTCATGCAGCACAAGGCAGCACAGAAGACATTGGCTAAATGTGACACTCTTTAACTCACTGYTCACTGCAAAACTAAGAAGTGAAATAGATTAACATATTTACCTGTTATGAATGGGTCCTCTGAACTTTGGATCGAATTTCCTTGGTTCACCTGCATTTAAAATAAAATGGTATTAAAAAAAATCCTTATTAAAAGTGTACTCCGCGCATCACGCGTGGACCTGCAGCCGCCCCGTTCCCAGCTCGGCCACTGCAAGCGCAATGGAAAGGGCTCTCTGTGAGGACATCCGGGCACCCCACAGACACTCAGGGCACCCCACAGACACCTGGGCACCCCACAGACACTCAGGCACTCTGCAGACATGCAGGGTGCAGTGAAGACACCCCGGCATCGTGTAGATGCCTGGGCACCACACAGATGTGTGGGCACTGTGGTGGCTCCGCAGGGCTTGCGGGTCGCCTGCCCCGTGCGTGGGCTCAGGCAGCACTACCTCCTTATCCTGTTTGCTGATACATGAGCCTGAGAACGGTAACGAGACAAATCCCCCACTTTGGATAGAGAGGACACCAACAAAAAGCAAGCAATGCCTGATGTTACAGAGGATCTTCACCATGAAGGACAACCCAGCAAACAAAACCCACTGCACAGGACACCGGTTCCGGGCTGCTTCAGAGAGCACAGCTGTTCTCAACATGGGCCCCTTTATTACTTAATTACTCAAGAAATGGCTTAGGAGCTTTGGACTTTTTATACATCACTGACTGAATGGACATGGTCATGGACAAAAATAATAATCTAAGTATTCAGTCGTGCATTTTTCTACTTTAGTAAGTCACTGTCACTAGTCACTGTTCCAAATGAATTTCTTCTAGTTTCATACTTCAGAGAAAATGCTTAGTACACTTTACTTCATCTGAAATGGTATTTATTTTRAGAACTATCAATAGTCTAATTGCTAATCTAAGTTTAAGATAAAATGTTTTTCCTCAAAACCTTTGAAGTTGCAATTTGCTTTTACTGAAGCTATGTTAGCTCTTTAAACATGTAAGACCACAGGGTCTGAAGAATTGAATCTTTAAAAGAAATCAAGAATGAACATTCTTCAAGGAAGCAAAGGAACACCTAAAATAACCCTGAAGCTTCTCAGTCAAGAAATTTCACAATTTTCTAGTATTCTGCAAAACTACATTGGCTTAGCAYTCTTATGTCAAGAATCATTTTGTGCATAAGGATAAAAACACCAGTCTTCTCTTTGTGTATGTGACTCCACCTAGATATGAACATTTCAAATTGTCAAAGGAATAAAGTGGTATTTTAAGAGACAGGCAGGCTTCTACACAGTAATTTCTAAAATGCATAGAGTTTATTAGCCAGATAGTACTTTATAAAGAGAACATACACCACTCAGCCAATCAACAATGAAAATGGGATTTCTTCAATTCATCAAAGGATAATTAAAGCATGTAACCAGCAAGGTGTTTTCTCTCAAAGCCAAGGGACATTTCCCATCAGGACTTTCCATCCAGGGAACGTGGCCTCTCCTTTCCCTGCTGTGTGGCTTGACCTTCTCCTCCCGCCTGAGCTCGGCCACCACAGGGCACCAAGMGTGCTCACATTGCACCCCTGCCCATGCGCACGTGTACATGCACAAGCACCCCTTAAAAAGAGCCTTCCATCTGCTACCAAAAATCCTGCCGTTTACTCGAGAATTTTGATAATTTTCCAGGCAGAAAGGAGAGGCACATTTTGCACCATGTGCTGTATTCACAGCCTTCCCTGGAGCACTAACTCACTTGTAAGGCCCTGCCATCCATGGACCACACCAAAGCCGTCCTGGCATGTGCAGCATAATGCTGGCAGTGCCACAGGCAGTGACTGCTCCTGCTCCGTGCGCAGCCCCGAGGCACCAGACACACAAGCTGGGCCATGCTGGTATRAAAAACAGGAGCAAAAACCTCACACAGCAGGTAGGGATGCTGTACAGAGCACCCTGGACAGACATTTATGGTGCCCAGGCTTCCCTGTTCACTCTCCTTCAAGGGGTGGATGTTGGTGCCCTCAGCACCATTTGCCTAACCTGGAAGCCTGTCCAGCATCACCCAGCCACACTACAGAGGCAGCAGTGTTTGCAAACCCAACTCGTCATTTAATTCAGAGATCAAGTTAGAATTGCTCAGCAAAGTTTCGAACACTTACAGCAGCTCTGCCTTGTATTTCTAATATGAACTTTGGTGTACACATGTGAAACCTCAGTAACAATCATCACTCACTTTATCCTTAGATTCACCTGACAGGTTTAAATCCAAATTCCTTTAGGCTGTAATCTTGTAAATCCTGACATACCCAAGAAACTTCCTGTACATGAGAAGTTTCTCCTAAAGTTCTGTACACACTAAAACATCTGCATATACAGGGACATAGACTGCACTCCAAACTCGTCATGTTGAAAGGATTATAGGACAAATTCTTACCTGGCAAATCTCCATTCACATAAATCTAGAATGAATTTAATCCAGGAGATTTATGAGGTTTCCCTACACTGCCGACAGCTAGAGCCTGCTTCTCTCCCATGCTGTCAGGGCTGCCTGGCACAGGGAGCAACGCTCTGCACATCACAGCCGTTGGTTTCCAGCAGACCCATGTGCCCTGTAGTTACACCTTCTAAGGGTGTAACACAATTTTTTGAGTAACAACTCAGATGTCCAAGATCAGTTCATTTTGTGTCCAAGACTTGTCTCTTATATGCCTATGCTGCAGCATTTCAGCTGATGACAATGCAACAGAAATTCTCCAGACCTGCACTTAGAAGGAAGAAAGTGCATTTGAGCAACTCACCTTTTGGTTGCTCATTTACAGAGACCTAGAGGGGGCCTGAGTTTCAAAGAGGAAACAGAAGGTTCTTGCTAAATTATCTCAAACTGAGCATCAAAAGTTGAGGTTGTCCCAAAGAGTTTTTTAAAAGGAAGGTTTGTTTAAAACTGAAGGGGCCTTGGAGAGCCCCCAGGGCTGCAGGCACTGCCGCTCCCTCCCTCCTGTGCCCTCTGGCCAGCCCAGAGCAGCTGCCCTGAGGAGGGAGGACTGTCCCAGCGCGCTCGCACCCCTGACAGTCCTTGGYGAGGGGCACCCCCCTGTGTGCGGGCAGAGCAGTCTCCCTTGCTGCCTGCATCCCCCTAGCTCTGTCCTCCCAGCTCGCTGCATCCTTTATTCAGTGTCCAGAGCTGCCCCTCGGGTTTGGAAGGGCTAGCGAATAACTATGCAGTACATACAGAAAGAACCCAGTGCCAATAAGCGCATTTGTATCTAGACATATCTATGTGCTTCATAGGGATAACCAGAAACACTCGCTTCAAACACTTAAATGATTACATCATAAATACATTCTCCTGTTGCCTTAATGTAATCCTGTACATAATCCTCTAAGCCAAGAACAACTAAAGACATTTGTTCCAATCACCCCAAGTGAAAAAAAAAAAAAAAGAAAAAAAAGAGAATATCATCATGATTATAGAGTCTCCTTCTCTGGAGATCTTCCCAACCCGCATGGATATGACTGGGTGCCCTGTGCTCTGGGTGCCCCTGCTGCCCTGCTGGAGCAGGGGGTTGGACTAAATGATCTCTAGAGGTCTCTTCCAGCTTCAACCATCCTGGGATTCTGTAATTTTCAGKTGAAGATCATGCCCAGAATACTACAGAGAGGTGTAAACAACTGTGGAGGGAGTTTGGAAAGCGAGTATAAGGACACTTTGGAGTGTAATGTGAAGCTGAGCATATCTAATAGTTGTGTTTGCAAATATCTGTCACTCTTTTGGATGAAAATCTGGCTTCCTGAGAACTACTTAACTTTCTCCTTGAAAGTGCTGTGGCATCATGCTAACACCTAACAATGCTCTCAAATCATTAGCCCAATCTCCCCATTATCACTGAAATAAAGGTAGGTGGCAACTGTAGCAGGGACTCCTTTCTCCAAACAGGCCGAGACTCTTCTTGCAGCTCTCCTTTAACTATGTGAACATGTGGACGGCACAGGAGCATAAGAGACTGCCCAGTGTATTGTTCACACAACTTTCAAATCTAGCTCATCACCATTCACGTTAATTGAGAACACACTGCAGAGGAGACRTGTCCTTCCAAGGAAATATTTACCTTTAAATAGTAATTTAGTTCTGCAACAAATTWTGAGGAATCTGGCCCTCCAGCCCAGCACCACAGACAGTGCAAAYGCGGTACTGCATGAGTGCCATCTTCTCAGGCCCAGATGGGCGACAGAGGCGGGCCCTGCAGCAGGGACGTGGCTCCTGCGCCACGAGGGCACATGAGACTGCAGCGCAGGGCTGCCCTGCAGGTCACGGCCCTCCCGCTGCAGCGGCGCCGGGCAGGCCCAACATGGCATGCAGTGCTGAGGTCGAGGCTGGGCAGCGGGTCGTGGGGCGGTAAGGCACTCCGCAGCCTCCCCCGCAACCAGCAGACTGGCCYGTGGGCAGATCAGGCAGCGGCGGCAGGCTGGGGTGCGAGGTAGGCATGGGCACTGCCCGCAGGCCTGCCGTTCCTGCACGGGGCTCAGAGACACGAGCGGTCCGGGCCGCAGCCACAGCCAGGGCAGCACGGCTCGCCGGGGCTGTCCACACCCGTGATGGCACCGGGGCTTCAATACGGCCGTCACACGAGGAAGACAACTTAGGAGGATTGTAGTAGAAGCATGTGTTCCTTCACTCAGCAGATTAGATTTGAATTTTTGCTTTTGAAGCTGAAAAGCTTCAAAAATCTAGCTTTCTAGGACATACTGAAGTCAAGCAATTATAGTCATTTACTGAACTAGTTTTTGTGCAATGAAAAATTACTTTCCATTTAGAAATCCAATACTACAATACAAACGGCTGCTTCAGACTGCTGTCTTACCTCCTACTTAAGGGTCTCTTCTCATGAGGATAGTAGCATTAAAGGGTGTTTCTAACCTCCCCTTCTGTCAGTCCAAGGAGAAAATACTTGTTTTATTTAATTAATGCAGAATTCAGTAACATCTCAAAAGCAGAATTTACTTATTAACTAAATGCCAGACTTTGCTCCTGGTGTATATGAGAAAAACCTTATCTTACTTGGCACAGACCAGTACAATAAACACAGCAGATCCTACAATTCTATTTGACTTTTGA